TGTTACTTTTATATATCGAAGCTTGCTGTTATCCCACCAACCTTCTAAGGGGGGGATAACCTGTAGTGTACATTGTACCTTGGAACTTTTGTTTGAATGAATGCAACCTGACATGTTGAACTTCACTTCCACTTCCGCTTTGTACTCCGGTTCCTCCTGTACGGTTACTGTCTCGCTCCCTCGCTGTACTTTCACCTAGTACACTCTTTGAGCCGACAGCCGTCTCACATCCAGATAAGTGTGTATTTTTGTATTCCTTATCAAATTGCATATCTCGTGGTGTAAATATACTTCCGGTCCGGTTAAACTTGGCATTTTGAGTCTTCTAACTTCAATTCCGTTTCCTTAGTACTTGCACGTAGGCAGAGTACTAATTAAGGTTATAAACGGTGAAGGATTTTTGTAAGAGTGTTATTGTCAGTTAGAGGCAAACCCTAAGTCCAACTCTTACAATTCCATGTCGATTTTCTGTGGATGAATTTTTCCATTGTCCTATCTTGTAAGTTTAAGATCTAGGAAGATATTACATAGAAGTAGTGTGATTAAACTAAGTCAGGTCTCCTTAAGAGCCTGAAGGCGACTGTTAATAGTGGAGCTTGTTTCCCGATCAATCCAGAAAAAATGTAATTGATTTTTCAAACGTCGAGATGTCTGCAGTTCAACTGGAGACCCTATGTCTAGGCCCACAATTCTGTATAAAATCCGAATCTCATGAACGACTTACGAACTTCTACAGTTGGCCTTCTTTACAATCAAATGAAACCTGATCTGCTCAATGAGTCAGAGAATCTGCACCGTTTGCAATCCTGGCACGTAGAAAGAGAAATCGGGTGCTATAAGATAGGTTCCCAACAAAAAGATGGCTACTCTGAAGGCTTCGTCACCAGAACCGCACACTCTCTATTCGCAAAGAACTTCTCTATCCGAATCTGCAATTCGATGGAGACCCTTTAGCGGAAAATACTGAGAATCCGTTTGTCGCGTTCTTTGAAGGAAACCTTTTTTGCAGCTGAATTTCGACATTCTCTACAAAAGTAGTCATTCGAATGAACGTGAAGGATAAGCTACCAGTGCTGGTATCTTCAGTATTTATTTATCAGTCCACTTGGTCTTGCGGAACTACGTATCTGCCGTCCAAATGTGTAACCGAACATTTACCCTCATGGTTTTACAGTGGAGAAAAAAAGTCGGCGCGAGGCTATAGCCTGGAACACCTTATAGATTCTGAACACCGGGCAAACTAGCAAAACAACTTTAGGGTACTCAGAAATCTTGCCATATGAGTACGAATCAAACCGTAGAGTCTATTGGAATCCACGTGTTAAATAATGGATCCTGTATAAATGAGTTTGCTGAGTCACTGGAACTAATTTGTCTCAATATTTGATGCGCAATCTTTTTATACTCCTTCCCTACTATCACGTTTCTAATCCTTAACACACTGATTTTAGCTTGACTCTATTTCGATTTTATGCGAGTTCTATTCAACTCTGTGTTATACGTTACGTCACTCAATCCACGTACTTAATTTTATTTTAGTTTCCACGCGACTAATGCTTTCTGTATTACATGACTAACAACTAAAACTTACAGTTTTAATGAAACAATCTTGGAAAGTCTTCTTGTTGCTAGGATAACTTATTACATATATATTAATATATATGCGATTGTACAGCTTGATAATAGTATTGCTGAAAAGAGTAGCTCTTCATTGAATGATTTTTCTTCCATAGAAATTTGATTTACAAAACTTAAATCTGAACTATCAGAATATCGAACACATTTATGTTACAGGATTTCATCATGGGCTGACATTGGTTAGAGAACTATTGAAAAACCAGGGATTCGCAAACTAGGACGAAACAGCTGTCCAGTACTCCTTGCCGGTTTTCCAATGGTTCTCTAACCAATGTCAGCTCATGATGAAATCCTGTAACCAATCAACCAAATCCCAACAAACCAATACTTGAATATCAATGAGATGCTTACTGGCGATTTGGCCGTATTCAGGTAGGTAGTTACCTGGGGTTCTAGTGAGAAGTCGTGACCAGTACGGTAAAGCAGGTCGGGTGTGAGGACAAATACTCGCCACAAATGACATTGGCTAGCGGTCGCCCTATATCGTGAATTGGCAGAAGTTATTGGAATTCATGGACTGGCCATTGGGTCGGCGGGTCCCAGTGGCTTAATGGTCTACGAGTTCGTTGGCCTTGTAACAAGAAGGTCCTGGGTTTTAACCTCCTGCAGTGGATGCGTACCCCTGAGACGTCCATACTAGGACGAAACAGCTACCCAGTACTCCTTGCCGGTTTTCCAATGGTTCTCTAACCAATGTCAGCTTATGATGAAATCCTGTAACCAATCAACCAAATCCCTACAAACCAATACTTGAACATATATGTTAGTTGGTTTTAGGTCATCGTAAGGAAGCCATGGACCTAAGTTTTGTTATTTGTACTTATCAGCAAAGTCGAAAGAAATGACGTCGCTCTAGGATTTCACACGCATGTCATCTGGGGTTGACCGATAGGATTTAAAAGTTAGTCCTTTTGATAAATTTGAATAAGGTATTTAGAAAACAAATTTCGCGAGATGACATCGTCATTTCGTAGTTTCTCTTTACAACCGCTTAACAACTAACATGGTTCACAAAAATAAAATAAAATGCATGATAATTCCAATCTTCGCCCACTATGAACTGACTACTTAACCTATTTTAAATATGATTGATCATTAGTATGTACTTTTGCCTTGTATAACTGAGTAATTGTCATGTATTTTATTTTATTATTGTGAACCATGTTAGTTGTTAAGCGGTTGTAAAGAAACTACGATAAAATTTAGTCAGACCTATTGCTCAAATATCCATCATCTACAAAGCATATGCCTAAGTGAAACTAAGAACGATTTATTGTGCAAAGTTCTACATAACACATGATAATGAGTGCACTGAACTGACTTGCAGCAGAACAAGAAATGAAAGGAGTATGGAATAGAAATATGTAGATTACTGTTCATAATTTCTTAAGTGCTGATAAAACAGACGTTTCAAGGACCTAACGCAAATATCTAGGGTGACATGGAGGAGGGGAAGAGCTTATGGGCAATCGTGGACCCAGCTGAAGAGGAAGGTAGAAAGTTGAACAAAGTGGAGATCTGTTGTTGAAGCCCTATGTTCCAATCGGAACCCAAGGGAATAATAATAATAATAACGCAAATATCCCTATACTTGAAATGTGATATACGAGCGGGCACAGAAACACCAGTAGCTATCTGACCACTGAGTCATTTCTCAGTAGGATTTTACAACCAGAAAAGTTACAAATAGACTATCTGAACTACAGTAGACCTTCCTCATAGTTGTATTGAATTCCCTGATGGGTCAATGAAAGCTAACCAATGTTGCATCATCTAGTAATATGTTCGAGTGGTATCCCTCACATCCCAAGTTTGCTAATATTACCTTCCTGCATCTGGCTATCAACCAACGGACGTGTGTACTGCTCAGCAGTTCGCTCCGTCCTTCTCTATGGCTCTGAAACATGGCCAATACGAGTTGAAGACATGAAAAGGTTAACTGTTTTTGATCATAGATGTCTACGATCTCTTTCTCACGTTAGGTGGCATAATAAGGTAAGTAATGTTCACCATAGGCGTAGAGTGTTGGGCAAAGAGGGAAAATCAATCGAAGAGGCTATAAAGTTACATAGATTGAGATGGCTAGGTCACGTGCTAAGCATGCCTAACCATTGCCTCCCCCGACGAACGGGCATTACTAGCTGATATAGGTGCAGGTTGGAAAAGAGTAAGTGGTGGCCAAACAAAAACATGGCCTCATCAATCCATGAAATCCTTGTCTCTTAAACTGAGTCAGGTAGGGAGGGAGATGCAGACTTCCGGGTTGGGGCCCGCCTTCGGGACTCTAAGAATCAATGGCTGGAGACAATAGGTGACATGGTTCAAAATCGTTGTCAATGGCTTACGCAGATGTATTCAGTCTCTGTAATCTTTCATATCCCTTTCTACCATTACTCATTCTGTTTCACTCTTATACTTGTCAAAACTCTATTGATTCTCTTCACTCATTTTCTTGTCTACCTTTGTGTGCTACTTGGAACGTGGCAACTCGAACTGTTGCACTTCGGTGCCAAGTTCTATGTTGAATCCAGACATATTACCTTCCTGTAGAACGTGAAGGTATAAACATAATCTGGATTTGAATAGAACGTTGACACGATTGTCGTCTCCAAGTTCTAAATGCAACCTGTTTCTTAGAATTGTGAACAAAAGACCACACATATATAGTAGTAACATTTCGACTTGATGATATGAATTCAACAAATTAGAGTTGAGGTCCAATTAGGTGTCACGTGTGTAGATGGATGTCCCATCAACGACAATGGTTGGGGTCGCGCTAAATCACGAATTGATAGAAGTTAGAATTCATGAGCCATTGAATCGGGTCCCAGTGGCTCAATGGTATACGAGCTTGCCTTGTAACCGGAAGGTCCTGGGTTCGAACCTCCTGTGGTGGGTGCGTACTGCTGATTTCCAAACTAGGATGAAACAGCAGCTGTCCAGTACTCCCAGCTGGTTTTCAATGGTTCTCTAACTGATATCAGTCCGTGATCAACTCGCAAAACATAACTAATCCTTACAAACCAAACTATAGAAAATTAATCTGATGCTCGCTGGTGACTTGCTACAGGATGGAGTTTCCTGGAGTTCTAGTGAGAAGTCGTGACCAGTGTGGTCCAATTAGATGTCACATGTGTGGATGGATGTCCCACTAACGACAATGGTTGCAGTCGCGCTAAATCACGAACTTAAAGTTAGCCTAATAAGATTCTTAGCCTCAGTGTAGAGTGGATTCGCCTTATCCTCTGGGATGTTTGAGTGAGTACATTTTGTAATGATAATAATAATAATAACAATAATAATCTTATACATTATTCTTTCTGCATAAAATATACATGCAAAATAAAGTCATATATAGTCATTGGTATACAAAAGAAATATGCACATTCACATAGATATTTGGTTACAATAGTAATTAAATTGACTAATGAAACGAAGAGTGATCATTGTTTATAAAAAGTACTCTTTATAAGTGGACATACATAAATCTCTCTAAGAGATACATACATCAATCAATGCATACATGTATTTGTTTTAAAATTAACCAATAATGGATGAGATTTGTATGGACACACACACACAAACATATGCATGCACATACACATACATACGCACACACTGTATAAACAGATATAATACAATGAATTCTGTACATTAATTTATAATGATGAAACAACTTGATATGAATTAACACCATTTTTCAGAAAGATGCGTAGATCATGCAAAATGCAATTTCGCCAAAAATTCACGAGTAGACGGATGCAGAAAGAGTGAAATTTGATCGAAATAATGCAGAAAGCTAAAAAGGATACAGGCAGAAATAATGATTACTCTCTGTGGAGGGAGGAAGACTGATGTCATAAACATTACAAACTGATATACTTCTTTTAAAATGAAATAATACTAACTAATAAACGCAGTGACGGCGGTTGGTGTGATTGGTATCCAACTGTTACTACTACTTATATCAATCAATCAGTAGTATGTATCATCGTGCATAAAACATTTCGCTAGATTTTTACAGTTGATAGGTATTAGTATAAAGATGTTATTTTTTCTGGGTATATTTACTGTAAAGTAAGCCAACTTTTCGTCTACTTAATAAATATCAAAAAGTGTGTGTAGTTTTTTGTCAGACGTCAGTCAGTGGGTCTAAGCTAAATGGTCTTACGTTAAATCCCTCAAAATGTCAGACGATTGACTTCTCCTTCAGGTATAAAAGTGATCTACAACGACTGGTTAATACACATGATGCTTGAAGCACAGAGGGGACTGTAATTGAAACTAGGTCTAAAACAAAGTACCTTGGTATAGTTTTATCCTCTGATCTTACATAGTCATCCTATATTTCATCGATTTCCAAGAAAATGTCCCGTCTAGACTACCAGATTAAGAAGCCAAAACTATCTGGAATCGCTCAACCACTTCTTTTACAATTTGTTAGCTCTTGTACTTTATCACTCCCTCTTAGGCTTATCTGGTCTCCTCAAAAAGGACTATGTCATTTTGAGAAGGGTATTAAAGGTGTGTTAGCAGGGCAAGTAGTGTAAAACTTAGTCAGCTTGTCGCTACTACATTAGTTGATAGACATCTAAGCTCATGTGAGAAATTATCTAAATCTATATTTTCTGACCGTCAACACTCCCTCTATGCTCAACTCTCCCCTTGTATCTCATCTGGTAGAACCAGAATTCAATACAAAAAATAGTATATGCTCGTACTACCAAGCATAGGGACTCAATGATGTCATATTCAGCCCATGTACTAAGTGATAGAGACTATGTAAAGCGTGAAACTTATGAATTACTATGTTGTTAGCTGAGAAAATTGGCCCTTTTATTATCTGCTATTTGTAATCTATGGTGACTACCTCAATTAACTAACAATCTTAGCTATATATATTGTATTGTTCCCTTGGGTTCCTAGTGGAACATGGGGCTTCAACTGCACATCTCCACTTGCTTCTGTCTTCGGCTGTACTTTTCACCTCCATCCATGTTAGTCCATACTGTTTCAGCTCCTCTTCACACGATTTCTTCCATGTCACCCTGGGACGTCCCACTCCCCGCTTCCCTTTCGGGTTCCACTCGAGCTATGGCCTGAGGCGCGATTTCACCCAGCGGCCTCCTCAGCCAGTGTCCAATCCATCTCCACTTTCTCCTGCATATTTGTTTTGGGGGATTGGTTCTTGCTTTGTTTGTTTCCATAGTTCCTTGTTGGTGATTCTTTCCAGCCATCTGATCTTCAGTATAGAACGAAGACAGTTGTTGATAAAGGTATGCGACCTGGTGGAACTATTCTTTGTGACCCGCCAAGTTCCTGATCCGTATAGAAGAAGTGACTTGACGTTTGTATTGACACGTGTTACGCATGCTAAATTATCGCCTTCCTCAGTAAGTATTATTAACTGATGAAAGATTAGATTGGGAAATAATCAGGGGAGGGGTCAAATTAAAACGTGACAGTCATCCATGGAACACCCTGAGGCGCTAAATACCAAAAATTAGAGACTGTTGGTGACATGGTTTAAAAATCGTTCAACCTCTCACTGGAACACAGCCGTATTCACTGTTTCATTTTATCTTCATTATTTTTCACATAATTATTCTTTCTTTTCCACATTTATATTTATCGTAGTTACACTTCATTTCTTTTCTCTACCTTATGTATGCTTTAATGAAGTGAGTCAAATTGAGTTGGTGTATTTGTTGCAAAGTTTTGTATTGAAAATTCAGTTTCATTTCCAGTTCGGCAAGGAATCAAAACACTCAAATTTGAGTAATCGCTATGCTGTTCACAATTTCACTCACTAGCTGATGGAATTTGATTTTTATCAAATATTTGCTAAGTAGTTGATTGAAGCTAAACATGCACTTGCCGTCATAAGTGACCGATCGATGAAACATACACAGACATTATGTCCCCCACCTAAATTCGCCCACTAATACCCTGACCATTTTGGAATTCCATGAGATGACAAATCCTATATATATTCAAGTATTGGTTTTGTAGGAATTTTGATTGATTGGTTTGAGGATTTCATCATGAGCTGACATCAGTTAGAGAAACATTGGAAAACCAGCTGGGAGTACTGGAAAGCTGTTTTATCCTAGTTTGATGGTGAAGAAATGCTCCAACAAATCAAACGAAATCCCTACAAAAACCAATACTTGAAAATTGATCTGATGCTCACTAGCGACTGGCCCTATTCAGGTAGGCAGTTACCCGGGGTTCTAGTGGGAAACCATGACCAGTAGGGTGCAGCAGGTTGAAGGTGAGGCAGTAACTCATCGAAGAAGACATTGCGAAGTGGTCATGAATTGAATTGGCAGAAGTTAGAATTCATGCACTGGCCGTTTGATTGGGTCCCAGTGGCTCAATTGTATACAAGCTAGCTCTCCTTGTATCCAGAAGGTCTTGGGCTCGAATGTCCTGTGGTGGGTGAGTACTGACGAAGAGTCCCAAACTGGGCTGACTAAACAGCTGTCCTGTACTCCCAGCTGGTTTTCCAACGGTTCTCTAACTGATGTCAGCTCAAGATGAAATCGTCAAACTAATCAAATCTTATATAATTCAAAAATGAGTAATATATGTACCTCAGAATGTGAATCTTTATTGCAAATTCTTCTCTAAGCAGGTATCATTTAAAGAACGGCTTTCAACAAAAAAAAACAGCTGTTGCGAGCCATTTCAAATTCAAGCTAGATAATAACCCCAATCATGAAACGTTGTCATACACCATAGATATTTCAAAAACTAACACGTTTAAGTAGGTAGAGTGAAACTTGGACCATCGGCTAATTGCATAAAAGTTAAAAGTTCATTCCGCATTCTCAACTAATGAGATCAATTCTAAAATCTACACATTTGAAGTAGCATTATGGCGTGACATCCGACTATCAACCAAGGGACGTGTGTACTGCTCAACAGTTCACTCCGTTGACTGTTTTTGATCATAGATGTCTACGATCCCTTTCTCACCTTAGGTGGTATAGTAAAGTAAGTAATGTTGACGGTAGGCGTAGAGTGTTGGGCAAAGAGGGAAAATCAATCGAAGAGGCTACAAACTTACATAGATTGAGATGGCTAGGTCACGTGCTGCGCATGCCTCCCGACAGGCATTACTACCTGATATAGGTGCAGGTTGGAAAAGAGTAAGTGGTGGCCAAACAAAAACATGGCCTCATCAATCCATGAAATCCTTGACAGTTAAACTGAGCCAGGTAGGGAGGGAGATGCAGACTTCCGGGTTGGGGCCCGCCCTCGGGACTCTAAGAATCAATGGCTGGAGACAATAGGCGACATGGCTCAAAATCGTTGTCAATGGCTTACGCAGATGTATTCAGTCTATTTAACCTTCATATTCCTTTCTACCATTACTCATTCTGTTTCACTCTTATACTTGTCAAAACTCTATTGATTCTCTTCACTCATTTTCCTGTCTATTTTTGTGTGCTCTTTGGAACGTGGCAACTCGAACTGTTGCACTTCGGTGCCAAGTTCTATGTTGAATCCAGCCAACCATTATGGTGTAATGGTTTGGAGACTTGATGATCAGATCAACAGTTGCATAACGGATTGACGTCAGTTCTACTACACTGTATACATATAAGGATTACATCACTAATGTAAACAATATATAAATATATATATATATATATTATAATACACACAATAGATATAAAACTGTATACTGTCATGGACATACCGTCTTTTAGTGGAGACAACTTGTCTAGAATATTCACCAGATGCTAATATATGCAAAATTGGTAGGTAGTCACACACTGTTGTTTTCATCTGATCATGACGATCCCCACCGATTCCACAACGATTCAAGTCAGATATACATTTTGACCATGACATTGTTTGACTTCTAGGTGAGAACATAAGAACATGAAATCAAAAAACATGTATGCCAAAAATTTATGAAATTTATAATTTATCATATTACACATTTTCCGCTGATACAGACACAACTTTATTCATAGTTTTCGTAACTTGAACCCGTAAAATGTTTTATGTAAGTTTCAATTGCAACAGGTGAAAACAAGGAATAGTCTGGTTGTATTTTTTAATGCATGCAATGTGTAGAATTATTTGTATCAACGTGAGTATCTAGTGATTAGTTTTTCTAACTAGCCAACAAAAAGGTTTAGGATTTCATTATAAGCTGACATTAGTTAAAGAATTATTGATAAACCTGCAGGGAGTACTGCACGTCTGCTTCGTCCTAAATAGAGACTCTTCATCAGTACACACCCCATCGAGGTTTAAACTCGGGACCTTCTGGTACTAGCAGGTATTCCAATGGTTTTTTAACCGATGCCAGAGCATGATGAAATCCTAAAACCAACACTTGGAAAAAGGTTCTGACTGACTGACTGATTTCAACGTAGAACTTTACACAAATGTGCAGCAATTCCAGTTGCAATACTCCCTCCATGGAGCACACAAAGCAAGAGAAGAAAGTGAAAAGAAATGCAAAACAGAGACAACAAACAGAGATATGAGGCAAAAAGAATAGTAATTTGTAAGAACAATAGGATGTCATTGGATATTGTAAGTCACGAGGAGTGGCCGTTGAGAACAACTTTGAGCCATATCACCACCTATTGTCTCCAGCCTTCATTGGTTTTTTACCGTCTTGAGGGACCCCAACCCGGAAGCCAGTCTTCACCTCCATACGTGGCTGCCTGAAACTAACTGTTGTGGATTTTATTGACTGATGAAGCTAGCCTTTTGATATCTTCCACTTTCAATGGTCAGGTCTCACAGCCATATAGGACGATGGAGTGAACTGCTGAGCAGTACACACGTCTTTTGGTCGAAAGCCAGATATTACGCCTACGCCAGAGACGGCGTAAACTGGCATATGCGAAACTAGTTTTCTGTATCCATGCTGAGACTTCGTTAGCGATCAACCCGTTGGCACAGGTTGATGCAACTTCCCTAATAATTGAAGTGGTCAACGTGCTCTACGACTTCACTCCCTATATTTAAGCTAGGAGTCAATGTAGTCCAGTCCTGTAGCATTATGTTACATTTCGCGGGAGAGAGTCGCATGGCAAACTGAAAAAAAGGTTCAGTTAAGTGAAAGTAAATCTGAGTAATTTTTGATTGATTTCGGTGTAGATTTCATCACGAACCAACACCAGTTAATTATTGAAAACCAAGAGATGAAAAGCTGCTTTCTTCTAGTTTAGGGCTCTTCAGCAGTGCACATTAACGACCCCACCACGGATTGAACTACTAGACCTTTAGGTTACGAGTTGAGCCAGTTGATTACGCAGCTATTGAATTAAAATCCAATAACCCGTGAATCCTAACTTTTTTTTCAATTCAAAATATGGTGCCATACCCGACCAATACCATTTCGGAGTATCATTCACTTCATGCCTAACATAGTGGTCCTCACCAAGACTCAGTACAGAAAACAGCTACCCCAATATCATCCGCCAGAGTTAAAAATCTTCCCAATCATTTCTAGAAGAGACTTCATCATGAATACCATATGAATCAACTTGTCCTAAAATTACTTAACTACTAAAAGAATCCGACAACAAAAGTAAGCCATAACGGTAGAATACGATCGTATAATTGTATATTGACAAGACAATCAAGTGTGACATCATATATCCTCGAATGGAACCCTAACAGCAAGCAACGAGTTGGGTGTCCAAGGGTAACAGGCAGGAGACCATGTGAACAAGCAATCAAAGCTTCTGGATAGTAGTGGAACCAGCTGAAAGTGATTGTATAAAGCCAAATGAAGTGGAGAAGTGCCGCTCAGAACGCAAAGAATGAATAACAGTACTAATAATACTGATTTTATGATTTTACTTGGGAGACAGATATTTACATAAAACTTCTAAGATAATCGGAGGATACAAAGAATGAAACAGGCAAAAAAAACTGCAACTAAACGACGGATATTACGCAACTACCTAACGGAATTACTACCAAGTGGTCAGCAATCCTATGAATACATTATGGCTGTGAGACCAGGCCACTGAAAGTGGAAACTACCAAAGGGCTAACTGTCTTTGATCATAGGTGCCTGCGACCTATCTCCCGTGGAAAGTGGTATAATAAGGTGAGCAATATTGAGGTCAGGCATCGGTCGAGTGCTAGGTAACGAGCGTAAATCAATCGACACAGTTGTGAAGGTTAGGACATGTGTTACGTATGCCTATCCATTGCCTTCCTCGATGGGCGATGTTAGCTGACATAGGATGGATCAGGTTGGAAAAGAATTAGCTAATGGTGGCCAAACCAAAACATGGCTTCATTACTTAATAAAATCCACAACAGCTGGTGTGAGCCGGCCACGTATGGAGGTGAAGACTGGCTTCCTGGTTTCAGTCCTCGAGACGGTAAAAACCAACGAAGGCTGGAGACAATTGGTGGTGACATGGCTCAAAATTGTTCTCAATGTTGTCTAGTGGAGATGCATCCACTCCTCGTGACTTACAATATCCAATAAAATCCTATCGTTCTTACATATTACTATTCTTTTTGCCTCATATCTCTGTTTACTGTCTCTGTTTTGCATTTCTGTTTGCTTCCTTCTCTTGCTTTGTGTGCTCCATGGAGGGAGTATGGCAACTCGAATTGCTGCACATTTTTGCAAAGTTCTACAATGCAACTTTATGATAATTTTACGGAGACATTACCTATAGAATCTGTGGAAAGTAAAAATTACCAGGCTGAATGTTATAAGAACAAACATGAACACAGCCCCACTTACCACGTGCTACAATCTACATTTCTTGTGCAAACTAGTAAACTATTATTTAACTAATTAGACTAGAGATGGCTACTTTACCAAAATTAATTTCAATACAGGTATAATAATTGAAAATATAAGTTTGTTTATATTTGTAAATCGAAGACTTACAAGCGAAAACCGACAAACTGGTCGAAGAAGCAGCAAAGACAGGACTCCAGGTGAACACAGACAAGACGGAGGTTATGAAAATAACCAACCAACAAAAACAACAACAACAACAGCAACATCCAGCGCCAATCAACATCAACATAAGGGATTTGAAAGAGGTTACTTCATTCACTTATCTAGGGAGCATTGTCTCAACTAAAGGCACATAGAACGGACGAGGATGTCAAATCGAGAATCGGGAAGGCGAGAAACACATTCATCAACCTGAAACCAATCTGGAAATCTTCGTCACTCAGCCTGCATCAACAACAAAATTCGGATTTTCAATACAAACGTCAAGTCAGTCAGTTCTTCTATACGGATGGATCAGAAACTTGGCGGCGGGTCACAAAGAATATTTCCAACAGCCTGTTGCAAACCTTTATCAACAACTGTCTTCGTTCTATATTGAAGATCAGATGGCCGCCGGAAAGAATTACCAACAAGAAACTATGGAAAGAAACACAACAAGAACCAATCGCCCAAAAAATATTCAGGAGAAAGTGGAGATGGATTGAACACTCGCTGAGGAGGAGGCCGCTGGGTGACATCGCGCGTCAGGCCATCGCTCGAGTGGAACCCGAAAGGAAAGCGGCGAGTGGGACGTCCAAGGGTGACATGGAGGAGATCGTGTGAAGAGGAGATGAAACAGTATGGACTAACATGGATGCAGGTGAAAAGTACAGCAGAAGACAGAAGCAAGTGGAGACGTGTAGTTGAAGCCCCATGTTCCACTAGGAACCCAAGGGAACAATAATAATAATAAAATTCAGTGAGATAACTTACGCATCAAACGATCTTGAAATGATCTGCCCGTTGAGTGAATTAGTGATACAAGAAGGATTTGTAATGTTCAATTTATTTTCAATATCCTTAAGATTATTTTCACTTTCATTAAGTATGCATTGTATCCAAAAAATATTGAAAAATTCATCATTAACAATATCGAATGGAATAATCGGTTGAAAATGTTCACTAGGCAAGTTAATCAAGCCTTTTATATAACCAGAATTAGTAGGATATTTTGAATTGACACCAGTAGTAGTCGTAGTAGTAGTAGTAGTAGATGAATCTATACTGACTGGTGAAGTGTTATTACCACTGTTGTCGTTTACTTCCAGGGTATTTACTTCAATTATCTGACTAAGAGAATCAACAATTGATGATAAAGCGGCTCGGCTTACACCTGACTGACAAATATCCCAGAAGGAAAGATTATCACTCATCTCTTTTAATGCTTTTAAAGTACAATCAATCAATAGGGAATTCTCTTTGTTGTCTTTTATATCCTCCTCCTCACTGTTTGTTCCGATAGCATTTTCGCCAACATTTTCAACATTCTTATGAGTAACGAAGTAAGAAAAGAAAAAAAACAGAATTATTAAAACTGGGACTATGATAGACTATTATTATTATTATTCTGCACTCAGCATAAAGAACAACTTCCGGATTTTCAACACCAATGTCAAGTCACTCATTCAGTCAGTTCTTCTGTATGCTACAGAGAGTTAGCGTGTCATCAAGACCATTTCCGAAAGGTTGAACACTTTCATCAGTAGATGGCCTGCCTTCGCTGGCTGCATACTGAAGATAAGACGACAGGCAGTTAGCCAGCCAGCCAGAAAGGATATATGCAACAATGAAGTCTGCAGTGTAACAGACCAACGAAGAACATATTGCCTAACAAATATGACGGACAAAATAGAGATGGATTGGATATACACTGAGAAGACCGTTGAGTAATATCGCTGGTCCCCGACGTCTTGGGTGTGGGTCTGAGGGCGACACGGAGGAGACAGTGTAACGATGGAATTAAAGTGTATGGGCAATCGTAGAGTCACTTGAAGAAGACTACAGAGAAAAAGATGAAATGGAGACGTGTTGCTGAAACCATATCTTCCACTCAGAACCCAAGGGAATGATAGTAATAACAGATAAAAATGACAGTTATCAAGAAATACTAACAATAGACATTTCGGTAATTTCATCATTACCATGGACATTCATATTCAATTATTGGTTTGTAGGGATTTGGTTGATTGGTTACAGGCTTTCATCATGAGCTGACATTGGTTAGAGAACCATTGGAAAACCGGCAAGGAGTACTGGATAGCTGTTCCATCCTAGCTCGGGACTGGTTCCTCAGTAGTACGTACCCACCGGGGTTCGAACCCAGGACCTTCTGGTTACAAGGCGAGCTCCTATACCATTAAGCCACGATATATCGTGAATTGGCAGAAGTTCGAATTCACGGGCCATTGGATCGGGTCCCAGTGGCTTAATAGTCTACGAGCTACCTCGCCTTGTAACCAGGTCTTGGGTTCGAACCCCGGTGGGTGCGTACTGATGAAGAGTCCCAAACTAGGACGAAACAGCTGTCCAGTACCCCCAGGTTTTCCAATGGTTCTGTAACCAATGTCAGCTCATGATGAAATCCTGCAACCAATCAACCAAATCCCTACAAACCAATACTTAAATAAATAAAGATATTATCCAATATGTTTGCGTATAATTTTGTTTGAACTCAGTTAACCAGATCAGATCATTTGTGTATTTCCGTCTAAAACAAACACACACTTATTGTTTATGAGGGCTGATCCAACTGTTTAGGATGAAGTATGTGGATTGAGATCCGAACTCAAAACCTACTATTGACTGGAAACCGAGTGCTTCAGCCAATGAGCAATAACTCAATATCGATGTAAACACACACACGTCTATATTTGACAATTAAAAGGTAATGACCAGAAGTTACACCTTAGCATGCATATATATATATATATTGAGAGAGGGAGACAGCACCTGGCTTCCTTTACTAATAAGATTCAAATAAAGCAGCAGTGATTAGTGATTCCCTTTACACAAAAGGTAATGTAAGCTGATAATAGACAAAATATGAACAGAGATATTTGAAGAAAGGAAGATGCGTAAAGGTTGTATCAAGAAACAAGAAGTATTAGTGTTACACAAAGAACGTGTGAAATCCACCTTTGCTCCGAATATTTTCAGTGATAGATACCTACAGTTGACAAAAAAACTGTATGTTTACACACAGAACGTGGTTTTACTACTCATTGTCTCAGTTAAAACAGTTTGTGAAAAATTGAAAAGAAGGATAGATCACTGTGATATCTCCCTAGACAAAAAGGTTTGTAAAACAGCTAGTAATCAGTGTACACCTGATTTATAAAATTAAGAACACCAGTATTTACAAACTAGAATTCTCTCTGATTTATGTTATCATTATTATTGTTCCCTTGGGTTCCTAGTGGAACATAGGGCTTCAACTGCACGTCTCCACTTGCTTCTGTCTTCTGCTGTACTTATGACCTGCATCCATGTTAATCCATACTGTTTCAGCTCCTCTTCACACGATCTCCTCTATGTCACCCTTGGACGTCCCACTCGCCGTTTCCCTTTCCCGTTCCACTCGAGCACTGGCCTGACGCGCGATGTCACCCAGCGCCCTCCTCAGCGAGTGTCCAATCCATCTCCACTTTCTCCTGCATATTTGTTGGGCGATTGGTTCTTGTTTTGTTTGTTTGTTCCCATAGTTTCTTGTTGTTGGTGATTCTTTCCGGCCATCTGATCTTCAGTATAGAACGAAGACAGTTGTTGATAAAGGTCTGCAATAGGCTGTTGGAAATATTCTTTGTGACCCACTGGCCAAGTTTCTGATCCATCCGTATAGAAGAACTGACTGATTTGACGTTTGTTTTGAAAATCCGAATTTTGTTGTTGATGCAGGCTGAGTGACGAAGATTTCCAGATTGGTTTCAGGTTGATGAATGTGTTTCTCGCCTTCCCGATTCTCGATGTGACATCTTCGTCCGTTCCTCCTGTAGTTGAGACAGTGCTCCCCGGATAAGTGAACCTCTTTCAAATCCCTTATGTTGATGTTGATTGGCACTGGATGTTGCTGTTGTTGTTGTTGTTTTTGTTGGTTGGTTATTTTCATAACCTCCGTCTTGTTTATGTTCACTTGCAGTCCTGTCTTTGCTGCTTCTTCGACCTCACTGACTTAAGCTGTGTATACTCAGCAAAAATCTGAATATATTTTGGATGAGCCTAACTGTTAGTTGTTGAAGTGATATTGATTGCATCAACCCTCTAGCTGAATGGTAAAAAAATCAAATGAATGGTATCACTGACCACTTCATACATTTTTGGAGGTTGTATCACACTTCCCCCCCCCACCGCACTCAATGGAGTAGTTACTGAGAAAATCTCACCACAGATACAAAATATCGAAGTGATGGTTACCGATCTGAGCTATAGATTGTGTCTGTGCTTTATCTTACTCCGTAGCGATAAATAGGAATTGATGAAATTAGGTGTGTCTCCATATTTGCCTTTTTCGTATCGCTCATGAATAATAGGAACACGCAAGGAGTAGGGAAGGCAAGTTCATGAAATTATATGGATGAGGTATGTGTTACGTGACCTAAACCACAACATTAACTGAAATATGAATAACTTCCAAAAACGTTAAAGTTCACCACAATGAAATATAATCTCAATCACTGAAGTTTCGAATTGTTAATCTAAATTGTGCCTTCATAAACCTGAAACCAGTTTGGAAACCTTCCGCTCCCACTCAGCATAAGGGACAAGATTCGCACTTTCAACACTAATGTGAAGTCGGTTCTTCCACAGGGGTCAGAAACTTGCACTGCGTGCCACGAAAAGGATTTCTAACAGGTTGCAGATTTTCATCAACAGCTGCCTTCACGGGCTCCATACTGAAGATCAAATGCACAGCCAGACAAAACAAACCAACCAAGAGCCGATCGCTCAACAAATATGTAGGAGGAAATGGAGATGGATCGGGCATGCATTGAGGAGGCCGTCGAATTATATCACACGCCAAGCCATCGCTCGAGTGGAATCCTGTTGGGAAGCAATGAGTGGGTGGTCAGTGCGAGGGTAACATGGAGGAGATCGTGTGAGGGGGGGATGAGCGAGTTTGGTCAGTCGTGGACCCAGCTGAAGAGGACGGTAGAAAACAGAACAAAGTGGACATGTGTTATTGAAGACCTATGTTCCACTCAAAACACCAGGGAATAATAATAATAATCTAAATTGTATAAGAATGTATAAGTCGCTATTTGAGATATGACATAAAACGGATCATCCCAGTGGTGCAAATAAATTAACTCTTTATCCTTGAAAATTTGATCACCTTCAATAAATTTTATTCCAGTCTATTATTGTTGACTTTTCTTTCTTTTCATAAATGCAGCAATATACACTAATGACTTATTGACTACTTTCTTTGTTGAGAGTAGGAAGACAGAAAATAAACAATTTTTTATAGCATTCTTTGAAGTTTGTTAAAACTTATAAAAAAATTATTCAATAAACACTTTGGGAAGAAATTAGGAACTATCAGAAAAATGTTCCAAACAGAAAAAAAAGAAAAGAAATGTTCAGCATGACAGTTTTTAGTAGATTTCAAAGACGGACATGCGTATGCACATCCCTCATAGGCGTCACAGACTCTTCGCTTTGTTTTGTTTTATCTATTTATTTTGATTACAGCTTGATGCCACACCGTATTTTCAGTACAAGTATGGAATTTTCAGCATGGATATCGGTAGCCCAAATTTTGCAGGCCGAACATAGATATCAGGTGTGCGTCGGCAGGGGATCGAACGCCGGACCATGTGCATGGTCGGCGAGCGTCCTAACCACTGTGCCGCCGACGCACAACACGCCCGAATGCACCCGATTAGGGTCCGTCGCGAGTTTCAACCCACCGAGGTGCAATGGTGAGCCTCCACCCGGGGTCAGAGCATTCTTGATCACCCTGAACCCGGTGCCAGGTGAGTTTCAAAGCCAGCTCCTCGACCGGGAACCGAACCCGGGCCTTCCACGTGACAGGCGGAGATACTCACCACTATACTATCGAGGAGCACAACCTTTGAATTACGCTTGTAAATCAAGACTAAATAACATACATAGATCGACTTCAGAAACTTTGATGGTGAAATAAAAGTGCAGAGAGTAATAAAACCGCCACATTATCTACGACCTAAACTGCGACAGAGTTAAAATTTCAATGTAAATAGTGGAATGACAAGGGCTGGGAAAATAAGATTCAGCAAAAGGTAACTTTAACTAGAAAGTGTTTCTGATATAAACTAACACTGGATATAGGTTCACCATTAATACGATTTTCAGTTTCACAGTTAACATCATCTTCTGAAGTAAATAAATCGTATAAATCGTTCGCAACTGGTGGTTTCGATTTCACCGATGGCTTGACGCTTGCGTTGCTCCGTCCACGTAAACCAGACAGAGAAGGGCAAATTGTCTGAACCCAAACTAGCGGATCGTAGAGAAACTCCATCATACTGGATAACTAAAAGATGAAAAGAATACGAATTACATATGAAAAGGAAATAATTTTTGGTATTACACTAGACATTCAATCATATAGTAGTGTATGAGGCTTACAGATATCTAGCGAAAACGAAAATAAAGCTTAAGAAATCTTATCATGCATACCATTTCGGTCGGTTTTCGACATAGAACTTTGCACATATGTGCGCCAGTTCAAGTCGCCACACTTCACTCAGCACACAAAGCAAGAGAAGAAAGTAGGAGAAATGCATAATATAGACAGTAAACAGAGGTGTGAGACAAAGGAATAGTAATAACGAAGAACAAAACAGTTTCATTGGAAATCATAAGTCACAAGAAGTGGATGCATCTACACCATTGACAACGATTTTGAGCCATGTCACCTATTGTTTCCAACCATTGTTTTTTACCGTCCCGAGGACCCCAACCAGTGAGAAGTCTACACCTTCCTACGTGGCTTAGACTAACTGTTGTAGATTTCATTGACTAGTGCCATGTTTTCGTTTGACCAACGCTAGCTCTTTTCCAGCCTGACCCTATATCAGCTAATATTGCCCGTCGAGGAAGGCAATGACTAGGCATACGTAACACATATCCTAACCATCTCAGTAGATGTAATTTCACAGTCTCGTCGACTGGTTTCCTCTCCTTACCTAGCACTCGACGCCTAACCTCAATATTGCTGACCTTATTATACCATTTCACACGGGGGATAGAATGCAGGCACCTATGATCAAAGACAGCTAGCCATGCTTTTCATGTCTTTCACTTTCAGTGGCCATGTTTGGCTCACAGGGATAAAGGAAGGCGGAGCGGACTGCTGAGCAGTGCACAAGTTCTTCGGTCGATAGTCGGATATCACGTCTACGCCAGAGACAGCGTAAACTGGCATATGTGAAACTAGCCCTCTGTATTCGTGCTGAGATTTCGTCGGAGATCAACCCGTTGGGGCTGATGGTACTTCCCAAGTAAGTGAAGTGGTCAACGTTCTCTACCACTTCACTTCCTATTTCTAATCTAGGGGTCGGTGTAGTCCAATCCTGCAACATCATCTTACATTTTACAGGGGCGAATCGCATGCCAAACATACGAAGATTGTTGCTCAAGGTGTTCAGTAGACTCTGCATTTTGTCAGCGTCCTCGCCTAAAAGGACTATATCATCCGCATATTCTAAGTCGACGAATAACCTCAATCATCAGTTTTGTCTTGATTCAGAATAGTCTGCATGATAACAGCTCTTCTAACTGCCGAATGTGAACACTATACGATGTTGATAAAGAATGAACCCAATAGTAGGACGTTATGAACCTCAAGAATAATCTTACACTTGATGAATGATCGTAATGTTGCAGGTCGGCTAGGCGGAAAAGGTTTATTTTTCATGAACCAGACTATGAGACACACTTACTGCGTGAGGGTCAAAGTCACTACCGAACCCCAGGACTCATTGGTTGAAAGCTAAGTGTCTAAGCCATTGGAGCCATATGGAATCCACACACTATTGCAGGTTAGCAAGAATAATCATTCGATCAGTACTGGTAATCTAACAGAATGACTCACTACAGTCTACCACCTGGTCCAAACCGGCCACAAAGCCAGCACTGAAGAATCCTTCTGTATCACCTACCGGATATCGGATAAATTGCCAAAAACATCCAGGCACAGCATACTCCAAACAGCAAAGGCCATTGCGATCCTCCTGAAACAACCGGTGCTCTGTGTGTAGAAGAAGCAAGTTCAACAACTACTACTACTGCCCTGGCCGGCCTTCAGTGAACACTATAAATTCATGAATTTGTATTATTTTTCCTAATTTCTCTCATAATATTCAGGGTATTGTTATGTTGATGTTATCGAACTATAATCCATTGATATCCCTAGTATTGATTCGATGTTATTTAAACAACATTAATGTTGTTAATAACACTAATTCATTCACTATTATGTATATATAACTGTAGAACCTGATGAAGAAGGGGTTATCGAAAAGAATATTCTTTGTTCAGTAACCATTCTTTTGAAAAATTTTAATGAGCGCTTTTAATCACTTAAAAACTATACAGTTTGACAAATAAGACATGGAAACTCATCAAATTATTCTGCATTTACCTATCAAATGGAAAACACCAAAGTCATGGGAATGAGTGAAGATTTACGTCAGAATAGAAAGCTTGCTGATGAAAAAAACTAGCACGTCGGGTGTGAGGACAAATACTCGCCTAAGACATTGGCTGGCGGTCGCACTATGTCGTGAATTGGCAGAAGTTGGAATTCATGGACTGGTCATTAGATCGGGTCCCAGTGGCTTAGTGGTCTACGAGCTACCTCGCCTTGTAACCAGAAATTCCTGGGTTCGAACACCGCGGGTGCGTACTTCTGAAGAGTCCCAAACTAGTGGGACGAAACAGCTGTCCAGTAATTCCAGATTTTCCAACGGTTCTATAACCGATGTCACCTCATGATGAAATCCTGTAACCAATCAATCAAATCCCTATAAATCAATACTTGAAAAAATAATCCTCAAATTGCCAAACAGACCGAAAAAGTCAGATTACTTGATTTGACTATTGAATTGAATACACAGTTTTATAGTACTTCGTACAGACTAATAAATAAGGAGACTAGCGTAGATAAGATATGATGGCTAACTCTGTTCAGAGCAAAATTCGACAAACAGTATAACCTTAGCCACTAATTTATCATAGAAATCCCCTTATAAATGCATAGGTTTTTGAAATAGAAATATAGTAAATTTGCCAGTGCTAAATTCATAACTAAACAATGCTGAACACGTGTTTCATTTTCAGTAATCTGTTAACGCGCATGTACAGCACACACACACACATACACACATACAGAGACTGAAACAAACACATGTAATTAAATAAATTAACCATAATCAATCAAGTACATTTTATGATTGAAATCTACTGAGAATTCAAACCGATTAAGTGTTAAGAAAAAAGATTTAATACAGTCTATCATCTGGAGGTTAACACTCATATATACACCATCATAATTCATACTGCTTCAAGGATACGGTGGATTCTGTCAAGTTTCACTCATACACAATCACCTAGCTCACATGGTCCCACTATCATTGACGGCATAGAGGTTGAAACTACATCAAATGTCAAGTACCTTGGACTTAGTATTTCCTCTGATCTTTCCTGGTCCTCTCACACCTTGCTAGTGACTAGAAAGATGTTTCACTTAACGTCCTACGTTAGAAAGTTAAGGCAGTCTGGTATAAAGCAGTCTTTGCTTTCTCAGTTTGTCAACTCTTGTATTCTAACCATTCCTCTTTACTGCTCCCCATTAATCTTCCCTGGACTACTTAAGAAAGACTTTGCTTTGCTGAGTATGGCACTAAAAGCTGTTAGTGGGGGAAGTGGGATTTCGTTAAACCAACTGGTTAACACCATTGTGGATAGACATATCATGTCATGTAAGAAACTAGCGAATTCTATATTGTCAGACCCCAAACACCCTCTCTATACGCAGCTCTCTCCTTGCATTTCATCTGGTAGAACTAGAAGCAACTATAGGAGGCTATATGCTAGGGCTACCAAGTACAAAAACTCCACAATACCTTATCTGGCACAGCCGTTATGTGATGAGAAATCCGTTAGGTATGACACGATCAACTTACTGCGGCACTCTAACAAATAATTCCCATTAGCTTTTGTTCTCCTTTCTTTGTTACTATTATATTGTTGCTCATATATTCTATTACACACTAATTTTATATTTCATATCCTGTGGTGCATTGTTTAAAATGTGAATGCAATGCTGTTCTCTTTTATTTCTTTTCTTTATCTTTTTTTCTTTTTGTTGTTGTTGCTTTTTATTTTTAAAAATCTTATAAAATTTATGGGGTAATTAGATGCAATATTGTAATGCACGCTGAAAATTCCATACCTGTACCACAAATACTGTTTGGAATAAATCTATTATTATTATTATTTATTATTATTATTATTAGTTCACAAAACACGTAAAATATAGGATATAAAATAAATGAGTCATTTGATATATAAGGCCCTATGATACAACAAGTTAGTTAGTTGTCTGAATTGACGTCAATGAAGTGTATAATGAACCTAAGGATAGATGCATGTGAGTCGGTGGCAGAGCGGTAGAATGCTCGCCAAACACGCCTCATGTTGTCCGGGGTTCGATCCTCAAGCGAGGCAATCCATTACCTCGCTAAGCCAGTAATAAGACTGGTAAAGAGGGAAGGTTGGACATGGGGCTAGCAACCTCATCCCGTAAAAATAAACAGCACTGCTACCGAGACCTCAAAGCCTCTGGCTTGAAGCCCTCCATTCCACTGGGAACGTAAAGGAATAAAAAACAATGCATAAAATAATACAAAAGAAGGAGAAACTTACATCATTTTTCATATGATTATGTGTTTTACACTCTGATGATGAACTGACAGCGAACCATTGTAGCTCATTGATAAGTCGTCGAAGATCACAATATTCAGTAGACTGATCATGAATTGAAGTTGTTTCAGACGATTTTATACTCTTGATGAGTGAATTAGCCGTTTGTATACTTAAATCATATCCTTCAGCTAAACAGATAGCACGAATATATGGGATAACTAAATCCTTTAAGGTAAAGAGGAAAAATAATACAGAGGAACGGGTAAATTTAGGTAGAACCACACAATAATAGCGGTATCACTTTAGTTTATGACAAATCTAGGAAGAAGAACAGAAATGAAATCATACCATAGTAAATAAAAATGGGCGTCAGAAGAAGGGGAACAGTTGAACAACGCTGTGAAGACATCTAGCTTTGAAGATTTCGTAGCAATTGGGAAAAATCTAAAGGAAGTTCTCTCTCTTTCTCTCACCGATCCCACCTAGACGTAGTATCGTTTCAACTACAGGCGGTATGGATGAGGGAGGATATCAAAGCCAGGATCATAAAAGCAAAGCAGGCGTTTATTAATGTGAAATCAATGTGGAGATCTATAACACTCAGTACACAGACAAAATTCGAAATCATTTCCAACAACCTGTTAAAGACTTTTTTTATCAACACTTGCATTCGCTGACTCAGTACTGAACATGAGATGGCCAGAAATGGTAAACGGCAAGGAGCTCTGGTAATGGAGAGAATCAGCAGACAAAAACCTATTGTCCAACAAATACGCAGAAGGAAATATGTATGTATTGAACTTACGCTGAGAAGGCACTCAAACAACGTCATACATCAGGCAATGGAGTGGAATTCGAATGGGATATGACGCTTTGGGCATCCAAGCATGACACAGATAAGACCATGTGAGGAGGAAACTAAAGCTTTCAGGTAGTCGTGAAGCCAAATGAAAGTGATGGCAGAGAACAAAGTACAGTGGAGAGTGCCGCTAAAGCTCAATGTTCCCATTGGATTGCAAGTAGTGAATGATAATAATAATAATAGTACATTTATGCCAACCAACGAGGGAACAGGCATAAAATGGACCGACACAAAAGCCTTGGAGGATTTGGATTTCGCCGATGATATATGTGTGATTTCCCACAAACTGGAAGATATGCAAGTGAAAAGCAACAAATTGGCAGAAGAAGCAGCAAAGATAGGACTTCAAGTGAACATAGACAAAACAGAGGTAATGAAGATTCCTGGCCAACATCAACAGCAACAACCGACAACAATCAGCATAAATGGGAGGACCCTGAAGGAAACAACTTCTTTCACCTACCTGGGAAGCATCGTCTCCACTACAGGAGGAACTGACGAGGATATCAAAGCCAGAATCGGAAAAGCAAGACAAGTTTTCATTTCTCTCAAGTCTATGTGGAGGTCAACAGCATTCAGCGTCAAAAATAAGATCGGGATTTTCAACTCCAATGTGAAGTCAGTACTACTATACGGATCAGAGACTTGGCGTGTCACAAAGAGCAGCTCAAACAAGCTACAGACCTTCATTAACAAATGCCTTCGCTCAATACTCAAGATCAAATGGCCGGAGAGGATCAGCAACAAAGATCTCTGGGAGCGAACCAACCAGGAACCGATCGTGAAACAAATAGCCAGGAAGAAATGGAGATGGATTGGCCACACTCTGAGGAAACCAGCAAGTGACATCACTAGACAAGCCCTCGAGTGGAACCCGAAAGGGAAGCGACGAGTTGGTCGTCCAAGGGTGACCTGGAGGAGATCATGTGAAGAGGAATTGAAAGCGTGTGGGCAGACTTGGAGCCAGGTGAAAACTACAGCAGAGAACCGAACGCAATGGAGACGCATGGCTGAAGCCCTATGTTCCTCTAGGAATTAAAGGAAATAATAATAATAATATAATAATATGCCAGTGTGAACGACTTTGAACCATGTCACTAAGATTCTTCAAACGTTGACTCTTAACATCTAGAGGATTGTAGCCACGCAACTGACAACTATTTCCACGGCTTAGTGAAAAAAAACATATGTTAGTGACTAAACAGACTGATGACTACTCTAGCCAACCTTACTGTTCAACAAAATGGGTTCACTTGCACAAGTGGAATCCTGCCAGTGGGGGAAACGATTGACCTTTAAAAAGATCAATAATTTAGAAAAAAAAAAGTCGGTCTGAATTCCACTACAAAGGCTGTAATCTAATGAGTAGGGTATAATATATACTGCAAGGATTTAGTAGAACTTGGACACATCTTTGGTACAACAAGTTCTGTTATTATCTCACCCGCAAAGCTGGTTAATCTACTTGTTAGTTAATTAGTTGGCTAGCTAGATATCAGTTATCCCGGACAGATTTTTTCAATATCAGGCTGTGACGTCAAACTTATTGTGTGAAGGTGGAAATTACTATTCAACTGTTTACTGTGAAGTAGTTGGTACAGGATTCCAGACTTGGACCTACTGGCTAGAAGTCGAGGCCTTAAACTAATGAATCGCATTCAGTGGTACTAATGAATGAAAAATAAAAAAATTGAATCCCAATATTTAGGGGACTCTGGTTCTGGCCATTTGAAAAACACGTAGCTTAACAAATATGTGATTGAAAGCTTCACTCTTAAGGGTTAGTTCGTGTACATAACTCAAGTTGTGTGCAGAACTTACCGCAGTTGTTTTCTATAGTCACAGAGATCTACAACAAAATCATTGGACTACAAGAGAAAATCAAAAGCACTTATGAAGTGTTTTTTCAGAATTTCTCAAACATCCTTTATCTGATAACTACAGTGACGTAACTAAGCTGTGATCTTTTAACAGCTTAGTTTTTAATCTCTTATCTGAACTTGACCTGTAAAACATTTTGCTATGATTAATTCATTGTGATTAATTAATTAGTCACATCTGGTTACTTATCGGTGGGCTGCTTAAAACTTGGGCTACCAAAAACCTCCATCATTGCATTATTATTATTATTATTGTTCCCTTGGGTTCCTAGTGGAACATAGGGCTTCAACTGCACATCTCCACTTGCTTCTGTCTTGTGCTGTACTTTTCACTTGCGTCCATGTTATTCCATACTGTTTCATCTCCTCCTCACACGATCTCCTCCATGTCACCCTTGGACGTCCCACTCGCCGCTTCCCTTTCGGGTTCCACTCGAGGGCCTGACGTGCGATGTCACCCAGTGGCCTCCTCAGCAAGTGTCCAATCCATCTCCACTTTCTCCTGCATATTTGTTGGGCGATTGGTTCCTGTTTCGTTTGTTCCCATAGCTTCTTGTTTGTAATTCTTTCCGGCCATCTAATCTTCAGTATGGAGCGAAGACAGTTGTTGATAAAGGTCTGCAACCTGTTGAAAATATTCCTTGTAACCCGCCAAGTTTCTGATCCGTAAAGCAAAATTGACTTCACGTTTGTATTGAAGATCCGAATTTTGTTGTTGATGGTGAGTGACGAAGATTTCCAGATTGGTTTCAGGTTGATGAATGTGTTTCTCGCCTTCCCGATTCTCGATTTGACATCCTCGTCCGTTCCTCCTGTGGTTGAGACAATGCTCCCTAGATAAGTGAATGAAGTAACCTCTTTCAAATCCCTCCCGTTGATGGTGATTGGCACTGGATGTTGCTGTTGTTGTTGGTTGGTTATTTTCATGACCTCCGTCTTGTCTATGTTCACCTGGAGTCCTGTTTTCTCTGGCTGCTTCTTCGACCAGTTTGTCGGTTTTCGCTTGTAAGTCTTCGATTTTGTGTGACATCAAACATAAATCATCCGCAAAATCCAGGTCTTCTAGGTTCTTCACGTCGGTCCAGGATATCCCTGTCTTCTCGTTTCCCACTGTCTGACGCATAATCCAGTCCACCACAATTAGGAATATCATTGGTGATAATAAGCACCCTTGTCTGACTCCTGTGTTTACTCCAAACGCTTCGCTGAGTTTTCCGTTGTGGATCACTTGGCATGTGCCGTTGTCGTACAGTTGTTGAATAAGGTTGATGAATATTTGGGGTACGCCGTAGTACTCGAGTAGTTTCCAAATTACTTCGCGGTCAACGCTGTCGAAGGCCTTCTCAAAGTCTATGAAGTTGAGGTAGAGATTTGATTGCCATTCCATGCTTTGTTCGATGATAATGCGTAGAGTTGCAATTTGGTCAGAACATGATTTGCCTTTCCTGAATCCAGCTTGTTCTGGTCGGAGTTCTGTATCCAGTGCGTCCTTGATTCTCTCCAGGATGATGCGACTCAGGATTTTACTTGGCGTCGACAGCAGCATGATTCCTCGCCAGTTCTTGCAGAGTCCCAGGTCGCCCTTCTTTGGTAGTTTCACCAGGTAACCTTTCCTCCAGTCAGTAGGCACCTTTCCCTCTTTCCAGATCTTTTGCAATAATGGAGTCAGCATATCTGCCGTCGATTCTGGGTCCGCTTTCAGTGCTTCCGGGGGTATTCCATCTGGTCCAGCTGCTTTTCCAGCTTTCAGAAGGTTGATTGCATTCATGACTTCAGTTCTCGTTGGAGGATTGGTGTCAACTTGCAGTTGTGTACGTGCTGTTGTTGGTATTACTGGACGGGTTGTAGGTGGTGGTCGATTCAAGAGTCCTTTGAAGTGATCCGCCCATTGTTTAATCTGTCTTTCTTCTTTGGTAATTGGGTTCCCTTGGCTGTCTTTTATAGGTTTCGCTTGTGTTGATCTCTTCCCGGATAGAGACTTGGTTATCTGATATAGTGTCCTTAGGTCCCTTTTGCCTGCTGCCTTCTCAGCTTCAGTAGCCAGGTTGTCGTAGAATTGTCTTTTGTCCTTCCTGGCACTCTTCTTCACTTCTTTGTCCAGTGCTGTGTAAGTTGAGTTCAGCGTCTCTTTCTCTTGTCCATCTTTGCATTGAATCATTTTTTCTTTCACCTTTCTCCTCTCCTCTATTAGTTTCCAAGTGTCTGTTGAGAGCCATTCCTTGTCTTGTTTCTTCTTTCTTCCTAAAACCGTTGAGCACGTTTCGTTGAGAATTACCTTCAGAGAGTTCCAATGGTCTTCCACGGATGATTCCTCAGTGGTGCCACGTAGTGTTTCCTGCTTTGCTCTGACAGTTGCAGTGAAAATGTCCTGTGTGATTGTGTCCTTCAGTTTTTGCGTGTTGAACTTGCATTGTGGTCTATCCCCAGGTATCCTTGAGGCTTTCAGCTTCACCTTGAAAGTTCCTTGTACTAGATAGTGGTCTGAACCCACATCTGCTCCTCTCCTCGATCTTGTGTTCAGTAGGCTCCGTCTCCACTTCCTTGAGATTGAAATGAAGTCTATCTGGTTTTTGGTGTGTCCATCTGGTGAAATCCATGTTGCCTTGTGTATATCCCTGTGTTTGAACACACTGCCACCAATCCCCAAATCATTGAAGGCGCAGAAGTCTGAGAAGAGTTCGCCATTTTCGTTCATTTCACCGAGGGCCTCACGATCCATGGTGAGTTCTCTTCCTGTATTGTCTCCTCCAAGTTTCGCATTCATGTCGCCCATCAGGATTTTGATGTCGCTCTTTGGGACGTTGTCGATTACTGTTTGTAGTTGACTGTAGAAATCCTCCTTCTTCTCATGTTCTGAGGCGTTTGTAGGTGCGTAGCACTGAATGATTGTAACCTTTTTCCCTTTTGAGTTGAACCTGGCTGTCATTATCCTGGAGGAGATTGGTTCCCACTGCATGAGAGCTTTAGCCGCTTTTGGTGAAATCATGATGGCTACTCCCTCGGTGTGCTCGTGATTGTCCTCTGGGTGACCGGAGTAGATTATTGTCTCTCCAGTTGATAGTTGGCTCCTTCCACATCCGTTCCATCTGCTCTCGCAGATTCCCAACACTTCTATTTTATATCTCCTCATTTCTGCGGCTACCTGAGCAGCCTTTCCAGTTTCGTACATTGTACGAACATTCCACGTCCCCATCCTTATTTTCGCTTTCATCGAAAGAAGGCACATCGGCTGACTGGCTTCCCGAAGGCTTTCACCAGCCCGCGTCATTTCACTTCCCCGATTCCAGCGAGAGATAAGGTCACTATTTGTAATTTTAGAATTTTGAATATATTTGTGCGTTGAAGTTTTAGTAGCAATTTGGTTAAGTTTTGGGGGTGGAGTTGCTAGCACCACGCCCCAACCCTCCCTCTTTATCCGGGCTTGGGACCGGCTAGAATACTAGTGACCTAGTAATCTAGGCGAGGTTCCATCATTGCATGCTGCATATAATTTCTCTTACTCGGTTTGTTTACATCTAGGAAAGTATGACCTTTAGTAGTATTATTTAAACTAGCGAGTACTGAAAATATTTCCCGACCAATAGCTGCTACCTTGACGTGGTAGTCGGGCTTGCACATCGCGATGACCCAACAAGCTGCGCTGACTGGAACCAATGTTCCTGCAGGTTCTACCATGCCAGGAAGGTTGTTAGGATAGCGATTAGACTAAAAGCAGCTACCGGCATTGTGTAAGAATCTTTCTTACACTATGCTGGGGGTCTGTGGGCAAAGTCGTACTGCTGGGGAACAGGGGTGTAATAGCACTAAGGTGTTTCCCTTAGATGACCAGCATGTCAGTTATGCTGTCTCCTACACTCTGGAGAGAGGGGGTTATTAAAGGTCGACCCCAAAAATTGTACATCCCGACTTACCCTACGGTGGTCCGTAACCGGCGGTAAGTTTACTAATACGGAACCAATCCCAGAAACCAGTTCATCCAGGGCGTGTAACCGGCCTTAAGCAGTTGCCCCCTAGGTTCTGCGGTCACGCAATACTAACCCTCTTTCTGTTCCAGGTACCCGAAGAATCAATCAACTTCCACGGTGTGGGCAGCCGGGAAGTAACAACCGCCCACACACTTCCAAAAGCACACGAAGCCTTCCTGAGCATCATTCTCCTTTACTCACATCACCTTCCTCATCTTGCTTCTCTACTACAGTCAGTACTATTCTGCAGGCTAGTGAGTCATCTTCACTTCACTCTGTGACCACAAACAACAGTGAGAGCCATAGAAACACCCCAGATAGCCTTTTAAAGCCACATCGGCAACTTCATATAGGAGCATTTGCTACATGGAGTGTGGCGACTTGAACTGTCGCACATGGGTGCAAAGTTTTATGTCGAAAACAGACAGATAGACAGACAGAATGACTGACTGAAAATATTTACAAGCTGCTGATTCTCAAGTTTCTACTAAACATGAGAAAAAGCATTATTCTCGATAGCAGCTTATCACCAGTACATGAGATGACCGTTCCTGAGTGGTGTCCTCGGTTCGCAAAATGTACTCCTCAACTTTTTATGATTGGCATTCAACTAAATATCATGTATTTCTCGAAGGAGACAAAGAAGAGATATCATACTGGATTGGTTTGCACTTTTGGTTAGATAGAACTATGTCACACGATCTACTGTCAACTAATGGTACATTTGAAGATCCTGGACGAAAACAAAATATCATGCAATAAACTCCACTGAAAAAAACTGTACATCTAGATATGATGGAGAAGATTTGTAGCTCAGGTGGATGATTTTGATGTGGTTGTGTTCTCTGAGCTGAATAGTTTATTTGCGAAGCTTTCATCACCCTACTAGGTGACATCTTCAGCGCATACTTCAATTTGAAGTGAGCTTTTAGATTTCTCCACGAGTTTATTAATCATCTCTCCCTTGGACGTGATTGGTTGTTTTTGTGTGTTTTCACACCTTCTAGGCTACTTGTATTGGAACTGATTGTTTCTTTGACTTGAACTTTGACCTCCCACAACAATCAAAAATGCAACACACAAGCTGGATGGAATGCATAAACCTATGCCTAACAACGTACTTCCAATTCAATGGCCAAATATATGAACAAGTCAAAGGAACACCTATGGGATCGCCAATATCAGGTTTGATTGCAGAAGCAGTGATGCAAAGGCTCGAAAACATAATCCTACCATACGTCACGTGGACGACACATTTGCAATAATCAAAAGAAACGAGTTAGTTAAAACTCACAACTTAATAAACAACGTCTTCAACGACATCAAATTGACAAGAGAAGAGGAATCCGAGAACAAAATCCCATTTTTGGACGTCTTAGTCAAGCGAACAACCACAGGGGAATTAGAAACTCAAGTCTATAGAAAATCAACTCACACAGACCAAATCCTGAATTACAACAGCAACAATCCAATAGCACACAAGAGGAATTGCATACAAACACTATTCAAGAGGGCCAGGACTCATTGCAGCACTCCCACCTTAAGGAAAATTGAAGAGAGATATCTCATGGACGTCTTCCAAAAAAATGGATATCCACGGAATTTCATCAAAAGACATATACCCCCAAGCCAACCTATCAAACCAAAAGCCCCCAAGGAAAGCACAAAGAAAATCGCCTTACCATATATAAAGGACATTTCAGAAATCACTACAAGACTCTTCAAACCTTTGGGAATTGACGTCGCACACAAACCAACAAAATCACTTCACTCAGTTCTATGTCAACCAAAAGACTCAACAGCGAAAGAAGATAAAACCAACATCATCTACAAAATAGATTGTATCAACTGCGAAAAACACTACATTGGCCAAAGTGGACGTCCCCTTCGTCTTCGTATCCACGAACATAAGCTAGCCGTCAAAAGACATGACATCCACTCCCTCATATCACTACATACAGACAACCACGGGCATCAATTCGATTGGGACAATGTTCAAATATTAGACAGAGGAAACAACAAAAATGCTAGAGAATTTTTAGAAGCTTGGCATTCCAGTGAATCATCAATCAATAGACACATCAGATTGACAAAATTTATCAACCGATAAGAAAGAAACCTCACACACAAAGGGTCAAAGTTCAAGTCAAAGAAACAATCAGTTCCAATACAAGTAACCTAGAAGGTGTGAAAACACACAAAAACAACCAATCACGTCCAAGGGAGAGATGATTAATAAACTCGTGGAGAAATCTAAAAGCTCACTTCAAATTGAAGTATGCGCTGAAGATGTCACCTAGTAGGGTGATGAAAGCTTTGCAAATTAACTATCCAGCTCAGAGAACACAACCACATCAAAATACTGTACATCATATAAACACTGTTCAGAATAGAGCTATTGCCATTATCATTATTATCTCTCATAGTGTATAATAACACAATGTGTAACGTTATCAGCTGAAGAGTTCTACTAGAATTTGATGAGTTCATTGAATCTTGCTTTATTAATATGTGTTGTATCGGGAAATAAATGTTCCCAATACCTCAAATTCTCGTACACAATTTATAGACTAATATGTAGCGAATAAAAAAAACATTAAATAGGAAACAATAACCAGAAAAACTCCGGCACTAACCGATGAAGCTGATGTAGTATGACAAACATACACTGGAACTGGTATATTGTGAATTATTGAAGGATCAGAAGCAGTAAGCACAACTGGACGGCGAGCTAATTGCAGTAAATTACTCAGACCAGACCAAAAACCTCGATCACTTTCAAAAAGTACATCCACCTGGAAATTATTGGAAAAGTTTGTCAATAATATCAACAAAGTAAGAGAGACACATTGAAAAACAGGCAAAGTTAAACTTTAAGCACCACTAACTACCAATCAGCGCATGACCTCAAACGCACCAATCATGTGAAGGAGGCTTTTTTGTGTATGGAATACATATATTTATGAAAAAGATGCATAAAAGCTGTAGAAAAGTGTTACAGAGGATACCTTCCTCTCACATGTGATAAAAGTAACTCTCAGTTTTAGGTTGGAGTATCAACAGTATAATTCCATTGTGGGTAAAATTTATTTTGATAAAGTCTCATACAGTAATATTTCCTGAGCAATGAATTGTGCTCGAAACGTCATCAGTAAATATTACTGTAAAACACTGTAAAACTTTATCAGAATAAATTTTACCCACAATGGAATTATACTCTACCGCCACAGTGCACAAGTTCTATTCTTATATCAACAGAGTAATTTAACCACATTCTATGCATGTAATTATTCAGGTCTTCTAACCCTACCCTAACAATAACCCGAATCTTTCCTGAACCTACCCGTAACGTGAAAACACCCCTAAACCAGCTGTAATCTAACTCGAACCAACCTTAATGTCACCTTAATTAGGTTAACCTAACCCTAACTTGTCCTTGGCTTAAAGCGTACCTTAATCTTTCCCAAACCTAAGCTGAAACTTGCCAGATATCCCATTTAATAGCATAACACTTCGATGAGGATATTTTATTGATGATGACAACATTATTTGCCAGGTGTCATTAATATGCTCAGTGAGCGTTTCAAGGTCACTGGTGCGGTCGCACTCCATGGGTAGTTACTGGTGGGTGCGTACTGATGATGAAGAGTCCCAAACTAGGACGAAACAGCTGTCCAGTACTCCCAGGTTTTCGAATGGTCCTCTAACCAATGTCAGCTCATGATGAAATCCTGTAGCTTAAAGTTTAACTTGGCCGAAAACAAATACTCTAAATCTGATGTACTAAAATGAAGTGAAAATGATGCATTTTCAAGCTAACAACAACTGTAATATACATGAACGAATATTTCAATAAAATATAAACATTGAATCTATTTTTCTTGCTTTAAAACACGCATTGTCCCAATTTCACTAAGTTTATCTGTAAGGTTATTCTTTGTTGTATACAATTATTACTCAGCAGCGTTCCTGTTATGCAACAGGCAGAGATACAAACAATATACTACAAAAACTTAGCAACTTTTACTGCTAAATGAATGCTGCAGTTAGTTACAAGAAGGATGATTTCCAAGGATTTTTTTGGTTGCTATCAGTTTACAATAAAAACCTTAATTGACTTTTACTCCAATCGTTCGAGTCTGATACACTCAAAGAAACTTATTTGCAGGATAATACGAGCTCTCTTCAACTGTCTACATCCTAAATATTCACTTTGATAGGCTTGTGTTCTGTCAGCAAGACGCTTGGATGCATAGGATGAAATGAGTGTTTCAGATTTTACTGAGATCCAAAAATAAAAGCGAGTGCAGATAGATTGTTACACCGCTGGAGACACTACACAACAGTCATTAAAGCAAAACAGGATACAAAAGAGGTGTGGCCAATAAAAAAAATATGGAACCCACAGCAATCCAAAAGTGTATGAAAAGTATCACCTGTTCTCCTTCCTAAATTTTAACAGTGACCAGCGATTTCGTACGTCTTATGGTCTATACTTCCTTTTAGGCTGGCCAGTGCGTAAATTGAGTTTGACAAGAGTAGTGCACGTCATTCGTCATATACCAACGACGAGGACGCATTCGGGATTTGGATTGAACTCATTCGGCTCTCTCGATTGAGTCAAACCAAGTTTCCTCCTGATGAAATCTCTTCATGTATGGCTCTATGAGTTACAGTGCGTCGGTGGCAGAGCGGTAGAATGCTCGTTGACCATGCATGTGGTTCGGGGTTCGATCCCCGGCCGACGCACTCCTTTACCTCGCTAAGCCAGAAATAATGCTGGTAAAGAGGGAAGGTTGGACATGAGGCTGGCTAGCAACCCCATCTCGTAAAAATAATAGACGACTGCTACCGGAACTTCAAGCCTCCAGCTTGAAGCCTCCTATGTTCCACTGGGAACGTAAAGGAACAAAAAAAACAAATATAATAGACGACTTAGACGCTCCTTTCACACAAACAGACATTACAACACTTTTGGTGCAACAGAATACGATTCTTCCATCTATCATCTGTCGCAAAACAAACTATTCACTGTCGATTACACAGTGAATGGTTTTTTCGCCTGAGTGGGAAATTGGGAATTTAGAGCTTTACTATATATATATATATGCCTCCAAAGCCTCAGGATGGTCAGGGGTGGGTGCCTTGAGCTGCGGGTTGGCCACCCCTCCGCACACCTCTTGGAATGCTCCCATATGACCAGGCGTCTTACATAGCCTCTCCTGAGGAAGTCCTACTCACTGCCTTCACGTGGTGGAGGTGTTTTCTTCACCAAAGTGAGAGGGCGAAAGCGGATGCCCGGCGCTCTTCACCGGGTTGACTGTCCATTGGATGACAGTCTAGGGGAGATGGCTAAACCCTGATTCCAAACCTCCAACGACTGGTGTATGAAGCTCACTGGAGCTCACCGGCAGACGTATGGACAAAGGGCTTGTTGGATTTCCTGGATGTCTGGCCCCATTCAAAAAGGCGTATGAACTGAACTCCGGTCACCGGCTGCCAATGGATAGTGGACTCCCTACTCCACTCCTACTGCCTTGTAGGTCACACTTGGTTGTGTAAAGGCTAGAGCTGCACTCTCAAACAAAAGGCCGAGCGATTCTGGGGACATCACTCGTACCAAATTCCCATGAAACTTCATGAACTCTCTTACAAACGACTCTCACCATGCTACGGCGTTCCCGGTAATCTTGGCGATGTCGCAGGGGTGGACAGCTGAAAACATGGCTTGGTACAGTCAAGGCTGATATGGAGTGCCTGGGGCTACAAACCGTCTACGAACTCCGTCTGTGGAACAAGAATTGGATAACCCTGTCGCAAAACCTTGCATCAGATCGCCGCGCCTGGGCAGCGATGATTCGAGATGTTCATGAAGCCGGCTCATCCTCCCGTAGGAGATAGCCGAAGTAAAGTAAAGTATATATATATATATATACGACAACAAACGTTTAAATTACTAGACAGACGACAAGTAGAATGCCATACCATCATCAAATATTATACCTTGATTACTCACCTCATCAAACAATACTACTGAATTACAATTAAGATTTAAACAGTCTACATCTAAAGGAAGAATGAAATGATCGATCAGGAAAGAAAAGAATGTTCAGCATACCTTTCTTAGAACTGTTAACTTTTTCATCACTAGTAGTAGTAGTAGCAGTAGTAGTAGAAGTTTTCTTGGAAATTGGTTTGAAAAAATTCGCTGCAGATCTTTGCATCTTCTTCGGCTTATTCTTACTTGAAGACGATGATGAGGATGATGAGGCTTAATAATTACAAGGTTAGAGGAATACAACTGAATACAACTTACTTATCATTTCAAATGTACTAAAGTTGGTGGATAGATTATCTTTAGCTACATGATGTGAGTCCAGTGCACTCTGAAATTTCGAAGTGATATCTTTACCGGAACGTCTACTTGAAGGGTTCAATTCAAATACCTATATTAAAAGCAAATTACACTTGTTAAATCCAATTAATCATTAAAAGCGACACTTTACCTTAAAGTCTAAGTCATTGGCCAGAGCATAAATCAATGAAGATTTGCCTGTCCCATTGGGTCCAAGTAATAGAAAAGCTTTTGTTTGCCATTTTGAAGGTGAAGACTTTTTGTTGTATTGATTTTCTTCTTCATCACTAGTCGATGAACAATCATCGCCATCTGAATTACTACTACTGTTGGAGTTGAAGGAGTACACTTGATCTTGATTATAGCCAATAGGTAATTTCATCATATCTGAATTTTGAGTTCTTTTTTTCAACTTGATCATCATATGAAGTAGGATGCTGATGATGATGTTTTTGACGTTTATTTGTTGAACATTCGACAATGAAATCATCATCACTGCAATCATCACTAGAATCATTTCGAAGTCTTTCTTGTAAAGAAGAAAAATAAATAAAGGTATCATATAATTCGAACTCCTCAAAAAATTTATAAAAGTGTGAAAACCATTTTCAAATGCAAAAAAATATACATTAATGCTCACTAGTAGTGTGGTGAGAGCTGGCTGCTAGTCAGATTCCTAGACAGCAAAGACTGATTCAACAACCAATCACAACGGACTTTGCGTAGGCGGATACAATTTGCAGATAGATAATCCGAACTTCAAGAAACAGTCACAAAGAGATGAAAGATTAACTTTAAGTGAGAAACAACCAATCAGAAGACTTTGTTTGTTGGCTTACAATAATCTATAATAATGTACATGAAAATATATAAATATGCTTTGGTTTCATTAATAAACGATCTGTTGCCTGGCCCTTGTCTTCTGTCGTTACAGTAGTAGACAGTAAGGAGGATAAAGTCTCTTAAAAGAATCCAAGCATCACAATTTATGTTAATTGAGTTGATTCCTGGCTACCAGAAGTTCGCTCCGTCCTTCTCTGTGGCTCTGAAACATAGCCAATACGACTTGAAGACATGAAAAGGTTGACTGTTTTTGATCATAGATGTCTACGATCTCTTTCTCACGTTAGGTGGCATAAGGTATAACGTAAGTAATGTTGACGTTAGGCGTAGAGTGTTGGGCAAAGAGGGAAAATCAATCGACGAGGCTACAAAGTTACATAGATTGAGATGGCTGCGCATGCCTAACCATCGCCTCCCCCGACGGGCATTACTAGCTGATATAGGTGCAGGTTGGAAAAGAGTAAGTGGTGGCCAAACAAAAACATGGCCTCATCAATCCATGAAATCCTTGCCAGTTAAACTGAGTCAGGTAGGGAGATGCAGACTTCCGAGTCGGGGCCCGCCCTCGGGACTCTAAGAATCAATGGCTGGAGACAATAGGTGACATGGCTCAAAATCGTTGTCAATGGCTTACGCAGATGTATTCAGTCTCTGTAATCTTTCATATTCCTTTCTATCACTACTCATTCTGTTTCACTCTTATACATGTCAAAACTCTATTGATTCTCTTCACTCATCTTCTTATCTACCTTTGTGTGCTATTTGGAACGTGGCAACTCGAACTGTTGCACTTCGGTGCCAAGTTCTATGTTGAATCGAGACAGACAGACAGGCAGACAGACAGAAGTTCTCAACACAAGAATTATTCATAGAGTTGAATCAGGAAGTGAACCGTTTGATAGTGTTCAGTGAATTATCTCATACACTGTTCCACTTAGCTCACTGTAAATCGATGAACTCACAACAAACTTCAAAGCAGACCTTAGAAAATCAATGAGCGAAAAGTGAAGCAGTAGTGTGGCAAGAGCTGTTTGCTAGCCAAAGTTGGTAGACAGCAATTTACGTCTATGTTTACATCCCAAATCTTAGTCATCAGAAAAAACAAGAACAAAACCTAACCTTGAGGAAATCAACAACCAATCACAGCAGACTTAGCGTGGGCGGATATGATTCGCAGATATATCACCAGACTGTCTAAGAAACGGTCACAGGCAGTACAGAATAACCTTCAGTAGGAAAACAACCAATCAGAAGACGTTACTTCTGTGCTAACAATAACGAATAATAATGTACATAAAAATATATCAATATCTGTCTATTTCCTCAATAAGCGATCTGTTGCCTATTCTATCCGTTTGCTAATATGTTTTAGGATACCGTAGAGTACTACATTTGAAAAAAGTTCCAGTACAAATAACTATTTATAATTGCATTTGCTGATTACTATTCATGATTAAACTGATTTACTGATATTTATCACAACACCGGCATAGATAGAAAAATATTATAACAAAACTATCAGTTTTCGACAGTAAGTCAAATATGTTTACGCTTTTGTATTTAGTTAGATATGATAATCCGCTTCAGTTTGAAATTTAGGCCTACTTAAAACATACACGTTACCAACAGATACAGTGAATGTTAAGTATTTGACTGCCTGCCTGTCTGAGTCTTTCACTTAGAACTTTGCACAAAAGTGCAGCAGCTCAAATTGCCACACTCCAAGTAGCACACAGAGGTAGACAAAAGACAAGAAAAATTCAAAAGGACTATAATGAGCAGAAATGCACGGAAGAATAAGTGAATGGAGAATAACAAGAATCCGACAGATCTATGAGTTCATAAAGCATACATCCGTGTTACTGAAAAGGAGTTGGAGCCACGTCACCAACAGTCGTCAGTGGTTGGATCTCAGTGTCTTGAAGACCCCAACCAAGCAATCTACACCTCCTTACATGATTCAAGCTAATAGTCAGAGAGTTTATAAATTGATGCCAGATTTTGAGTTGATCAACCCTCTCTTTTCTAACATAATCCTATGTCATTTAACATTGCTCCACAATGAGAGTGATGGCTTGACATGTGTAACACGTATCCTACCCATTTTAATTGATGCTATTTCACAACTTCATCAACTGACTGTCCCTTCTTCTTATCTAACCCCAATATTACTTACTGTATTATACCACTTACTTAGTACAGGAGATGAGATGCAAACACCTATGATTAGAGAAAGTTTGCCTCTACTTTCAACGACCACATTATAAAAAGACTGTCTAGCAGAGGAAGTATGCCATGTACTATGACACTGCTTCAAAAGGACCACTTGTTGGGACATTTGTGTGTTTCCATTAGACAAATTGCGACTGAACTAAAATGACAACTATTGAAATTTTTAGATGGATTTTGTTACAATACTAATAATAATACAATCGAGTGTTGGTTTGTGGGGATTCGAATGGTTGGTTACAGGATTTCATCATGAGCTGACATTGGTTAGAGAACCACTGGAAGAATGGCAAGGAGTACTGGACAGCTGTTTCGGCAGTCCTAGTTTAGGACTCTTCAGCAGTACTCCTCACCCACCGAAAGGGTTCGAACCCAGGGCCTTCTGGTTACAAGGCGAGGTAGCTCGTAGACCATTAAGCCAATGGGACCCGATCTAATGACCAGTCCATGAATTCTAACTTCTGCCAATTGACGATATAGCGCGATCGCTAGCCAATGTCTTCGGCGAGTGTTTGTCCTCACACCCGACCTGCTGCACCCTACTGATGAACAGTCCCAAACTGGGATGAAACAGCTGTCCAGTACTCCCAGGTTTCCCAATGGTTCTCTAACCAATGTCAGCTCATCATGAAATCCTGTAACCAAATAATATATAATCACTTTCGAAATAGTTCTTCCAAACGAGATCATGCTGAAAATTGAAAAAACGATCCGTCCATAGTTCATTGATGATGCATATCACCAACAAAGACATGATTTCAAGTGGACATAGAGAAGGCAGAGGTGATGAAGATAACCAACCAACCAACCAACAACAACAGGCACAAATCACTATCGACGGGAGAAATTTGAAAGAGGTCACTTCTTTCACTTATCTAGGCAGAACACACGGATCAGGACGTCAAAGTCAGGATCGGAAAGGGAACGCAGGCCTTCAATAACCTGAAACTAGCGTGGAAATCTGATGTAGTCCGCACAACGAACTACTTTCGGGTTCTCAGCATTAATGTAAAATTAGTTTGTGCTTCTGTATATGGTTCAGAGACTTGACGTATCACGAAAAGTATTCCGAATAAAACGTCACACTTATCAATAGCTGCCTTCGCTGGCTACATACTTAAGATCAGATGGCCAGAAAGGATTAGCAACAAGGAACACTGACAACGAACCAATCAAGAGCCTGTCGCCCAACAAATATGACGAAAAAAAATGGAGATGGATCAGACACACACTGAAGAGACGGTTGAGTGACGTCGCTTGTCAGGTCAGCCCTCGAGGAGAGCCCAGATTAGAAACGATGTCGGTGAAAGGGTGACATGGAGGGGATTGTGTGAGATGACAGCCTGTGGGCAATCATGCAGCTAGTAAAAGACGACTGTAGAGAACAGAATGGAATAGAGATGTGCTGTCGACACCTTCTGTTCCACTCGGCAATGTTTGACTGTGAAGGGAGTGCCAAGAAAGTACATTCCGCTTATCAAGGCACTCTACCCAAACTCACGTAGCCGTGTAAGGGCTTATGGGAAATTGTCATCTGAATTGATAACAACCAGTGGTATCCGTCAGGGATGTCCACTTTCCACATTCCTGTTTAACTTTATCATAGATATGCTAATGGAAGTATCCTTAACTGAACTTAGGAATCGACTTGTTACCAGGGAATAGTCTTATGGACTTAGAATATGCAGATGACATAGTCCTGTTAGGGGAGGATGCTGACAAAATGCAGAGTCACCTGAACACCTTGAGCAGCAACCTTCGTATGTTTGGCATGCGATTCGCCCCTGTAACATGTAAGATGCTGCTACAGGACTGGACTACGTCAACTCCTAGCTTAGTGATAGGGAGTGAAGTAATAGAACATGTTGACCACTTCACCTATTTGCGAAGTTGTATCACCACCAACGGATTGATTGGCGACGAAATCTTAGCACGGATCCAAAAAGCTCGAGCTGCTTTCGCTAACTTACACCATCTCTGGCGTAGGCGTGACATACGACTATCAACCAAGGGACGTGTGTACTGCTCAGCACTTCGCTCCGTCCTCTATGGCTCTGAAACATGGCCAATACGACTTGAAGACATGAAAAGGTTGACTGTTTTTGATCATAGATGTCTACGATCTCTTTCTCACGTTAGGTGGCATAAGGTATAACGTAAGTAATGTTGACGTTAGGCGTAGAGTGTTGGGCAAAGAGGGAAAATCAATCGACGAGGCTACAAAGTTACATAGATTGAGATGGCTGCGCATGCCTAACCATCGCCTCCCCCGACGGGCATTACTAGCTGATATAGGTGCAGGTTGGAAAAGAGTAAGTGGTGGCCAAACAAAAACATGGCCTCATCAATCCATGAAATCCTTGCCAGTTAAACTGAGTCAGGTAGGGAGATGCAGACTTCCGAGTCGGGGCCCGCCCTCGGGACTCTAAGAATCAATGGCTGGAGACAATAGGTGACATGGCTCAAAATCGTTGTCAATGGCTTACGCAGATGTATTCAGTCTCTGTAATCTTTCATATTCCTTTCTATCACTACTCATTCTGTTTCACTCTTATACATGTCAAAACTCTATTGATTCTCTTCACTCATCTTCTTATCTACCTTTGTGTGCTATTTGGAACGTGGCAACTCGAACTGTTGCACTTCGGTGCCAAGTTCTATGTTAAATCCAGAGAGACAGACTTGGCAATAATAATAATAATCAGAAAAAACCAACCAAAAGAAAACTATATCTCATAATCATCAAAATACGACGACTAACAGCTTACCAGGAGGAAGAAGAAAACAACTTACTTTTTGTACATCTCGTTTTCGGAGTTCCATTCAATAATTTATTCGTTGAATTCTCGCCTTTCGAATTTTTATCTTTCCATTTCTCTAACCACTGATGGAGTTTTCGTATCCCAGGACATGTGTTAAGAAAAGCAGAACAGCTTGTTGGTGTGTACTTATCTACCCACAACTGGGATTCATTCACAACTGCAAATAAGAAGAGATACAACAAGCAAGTGTGAGCTGAAATGGCACTCGGCAAGATGCAGTAAATATTAGAAATATACAACTTAACTGAGAAATAAGATAGGCTTAAGATTGATTAGATATTGTCAAGCATTACAGTAAAGTCAGTTAAAATGATACTGCATAGGAATTACGTTTCTTACAAATGCCACTTTCATACTCTTTCGAAGAACTATCATACCACTCCATAGAAGTCAGCGAAGTTAGATAAAAAATAATAATAATTTTCTTTGAATATGTTTCAAACAATTGCCCCCATTATATAACAGTTTCTACTTCATACAGTGTCAATTAATAATCAAGAGGTCCAAACAGAAAAGTAGCACCATAAGCTAGGTCCTATTCACTGCCTTCATCCGGCGACGGTGGTCCTCACGAAAGTGAAAGAGCGAATGCGAATGTCTTGTCCTTACAACTGGACGGGCGGACATAACGGTCAACGTAATGGAGCTCAGAAAACCCTGATTCCAAACCTGTGGTTCATACAATCTCAAGAATCTGAACAGGGTGAATGGCACACGAACCTGTTTCGGTCACCGTCAACAATGGGAACGCAGTCCCATCGTCTTGTGGATCATACTTCAAGTCAAAGCCTCCTAAGACAACTGCCTACTTTGGTATGAGTGACCTTCGTATAAACTATGAGATTTCCTGTAGTGCATCTCTTGATGCCCAACAATGTACGCAGTTTGTGATAGTAATAAATCATTTAAGAAACTACCAAAAGTAAGGCTCACCAGTTTGAAGTTGACCTGTTTTGAAAGACTCAGTAGAACGAGATTGAAATTGTTGCAAACACTTGGAAATCGGAAAATTCGAATACTCAGCCGTAATATTTTTGCAATAGATATCGTAATTACCAATTCTCGGGATATAGAAGTCCGTTATCCTCTGAGAAGTTATTATTTATTTTAATAATACTAAATTACCTGCACTATTTGGCTTGAAGATGGATTTGAGACAGAAACACAGAAACCTTCTCCTGAACAGTTCACATGATTCAAGGTTTGACTGGAATGATATTCAGTAGCTTGGAGAAGCGGAGAATCAGTCTTTGTCTCAAGTAATGATGGCTCACTGGAGACATCTTTAGTCTCAGGGATGGAAATACTGCTGACATTTTGCAAAACGTTTGTCTTTAAAGAAGAAGTATCGTGCTGAACTACTGAATTTTCTAATTTCTGTTGAGTGCCAGAGTTTGGGTTAAACACTTCGTTAGTACATGGACGATTCTTCAAACTGGCTAAAAACTCCGAAAAGCTCATGTGTATGACATTACTTCCCTGGACTTCACCATTCATTTTTATTTCAGAGTCTTGAAATTGTACAGGGGAATCAACACTTCCATTACTATCCCGTTTGCATTTCATGACCTGGAATTTGAAAAGAAATGTAGAAAAACATACAGCTTTCCCGAAATAAATTTAATGGAAACTTCTCATTCAAAGAAACACAGCTTATCTAATATAATTATATCAATGCCCCCATAAACGACGTGGTATGACAAAGACTGGATAGACTTCGGTCTTCTTCTTAAAATGCTCTCATGTGGCCACACGTTCACAGACTCTACAAAGTAAGTCCTGTTCAATGTCTTCACGCAGAAACGGTGTTCTTCACGAAAGTGAAAAAGCAAATGGGAACGTTTGAGGCTTGTAATAGGACTGATAAACATGATTAATAGGCGTAGATTAACAACCAGTCACAATAATGGTTATCAGGACACACAAATAAACACCATTCATGGAGAACTCAAATAAACTCATTTCACACTAAAACCTGCTCTGAAGCTATTGTTTAGAAGGACAACGAATGCTATGCAATTAAATCAACCACATCAAAGAACATAACCAAAAAATCTGATAGACGAGCTCGGCATTCGGTTCATTTACTTAGGCATTTGTCATTCAGCCAATGTATCCTGGATTCGAGTCCCACTCCGCCAACTTCATCCTGGGAAACTGGGTAGTATTATTAGCTTTCACGCAATGTATGGCAAATAGACCAGTACTGGGTGACTGAGTAATAATAAGCATTGGTCTACCCAGGGGATTTGGAAAACCATGATTCCAAACCTGTGGTTCACACAGTCTCAAGAATCTGAACAGGTGGAAGGGCGTATGAACCTGTTTTGATCACTACCAACCATGGGAACGCAGTACCGTTGTCTTGTGGACCATACTTCGAGTCAAAGTTTCTTAAGACAACTACCTGCTTTGGTATGAGCATCCCAGCAGCACCGCGACCTTCGCACAAACTATGGGATTTTCTGTGGTGCATCTCTTGGTCTTCATAGTACACCAAGTTTGTAATCTAATGGACAATAATAATGAATTAACTCACAAATATTACTAGGTTATGAATGTAATCTATCACTTCACGAATTATATGCACATTACGTGTTTACTGAAACACAAGCTTGATACAGTAAGGACACAAAGAGTTGAACCGAATACAATGATTTGTTCTGTATAATGTTTAAAAGGAAAGACAACATATGATAAAATGCACATATATGAAGCAGCAGTATATAAGAAACCTTACACATTCCAAAAATCAAAGATGGAATATAACTGAATTGAAAAACCATTCTAGTCATACATTCCATTTATCTCACCAACTATTATTCTAGAAATCCATGTTTACTGAAAAAAACTCAGGATAACAGTGATTTCTGGTAAACTTTGTGAGGTACAAGTACTATTTTTATGTGCAGTTTTGTCTATTGGTTTAGTATATGAGATTTTCTGTGATATATTCTACTGTGATTATTAGGAGATATTACGCAGTGGTCTTGGATACGATAAAGTGATTAGTAATGAAATACCTTTAATTCCCGTTAATTTAGTTCTAGTGAATACTTTTCAAAATCATACATTTCCCCAGGATGTACCTTGATTTTGTGCTGACTTCTTCGCATTGCATTGGTATGAAGTGAGACGTCAGTCGACACCCGTTTATTGTTTTTCGACATACAATTAGTTTAGACAAATTACTGGCTTATACTGTTTCACGTTAATGGCTAGGAAAACAAAGGAATACAGTATGAAAAGCAATACTTAACAGTGTCCTGAAACATTAGCAAACGGATAGAATAGTTTTCTTATAGAATGTGAAGAAAGTTATTTAATTACACAAAATTACATTCCTTGTCCTGAATTTCACTCCATGTTAATAATTGTCGCTGATATCAAATACTGCTTCAGTTTTCGCTCATTGAATTTCGAAAGACTGCTTCGAAGTCTGTTGTGAGTTCATCGATTTACAGTGAGCTAAGTGGAACAGTGTTGAGAACTTCTGGCATCCAGGAATCGACTCAATTAACATGAGTTGTGGTGTTTAGATTCTTTTAAGAGACCTTATCCTCCTTCCTGTCTACTACTAGCAATCATTAGTACAATTTTGACTTTCTAGTTTGCTCAAAGCACTGAGTTCACCACACACAAAATTTCAAAATCTAATTTCTTCTGGTCTTCACTTTAAGGAAATGTTTGAAGATACGAAACCCAAATGTGGTTTTATCATAACCAACATCACATCAATTGGCTGTCTCAAAACAAACACTGCCATTTGTACAGAAGAAATGGGACTCCTTATTTCTACTGAAACTTCATTTAGCAGCCAAACATTCCAGTCTCATAATCCTCACAAAAACGGCGAAACAAAAAACAAAACACATTGGAATCCTGAGATTGACTGACTGATTTCCAGCATAGAACTTTGCACAGAAGTGCAGCAGTCCAGGTAGAGATCCAAAAGAACAATGATGTGCAGAAATGTACGGCGAAAGAATAGTAACATCGATAAACATCAATATTTAATGGATCTGGAAGATTACAAACAGTACATGCATCTGTGCAATTGAGAATGACTATGAGCTGTTACTAAGTATTCGGTCATTGCTTCTTGGAGCCTAAATGACTCCAATCAGGCAGTCTACACCTCCAAATGTGGCTCAGATTGACCGTCAAACAAGTCACGGATCCATATGAGGTTACGGTTTGACTACCCCTAAGGTTTTTCCAAGCTAATTACATTTCAGGTGACATTGTTTATCGAGGAAGGCGGTGGCTTGGCATGCTCAACGCGTGTCCCGGCCATCACGATTGTGGTGTAGCTTTGCAGTCTCATCGACTGACTTAACAGTACGCGTACCAACCGTATTATTCTCTATATTATATCGCAACACCGAGGATGGAACGCAAATATCTGTAGTCAAATACAGCCAGTCGATTAGTATCTTCCACATTCGAATACCACATGAAAAGAATCACCTAAATGAACATCGCCCAGGGTTGCTAACCGATGATGCATCAATCTCAGATATTATTCGTGAAGTTATATAACTTTTCTCTGTATATACGGTGAAAATTGAGTTGATTACATTAACTTTGCTAGACTTTCTTCGTATCTCCATCTTTTAAATAGCTACACGATGTATATGCATTGAGCAAAAATAATCCTACAAACGACTTAGCTGTCACTAAGTAAAGTAACTATATATAGTATAGCATGTATCAAAAATATACCACAAAAAGAAAGTGTTTAGTCTTATCTAGGAAAGCATCAAGAGAAAAGCAATCCCAGAAAACCACACGAACCCACACAGCTTCGACAACGGTCAAGGTCAAGGTTAAATCCCAATTTAAATACGCGGCTTAAGACAAAAGTTTAAGTCACTGCTTTGTTAGAAAAGAGCTGTCAGATTTCATTTGTCCTAATCCAAACCTCCAGCGAAACTCTAAGGAGAAATTATAGTTTGCTATCATGCATTTATAGAAGGACTTTGAAACCTACTATTACAGAATGAATGAATGAAATCACAGTCAACATTTTCTCTGTAATTTTTCAAAGAAAAGGTACCATATAAAAAAGAACTGCTAAATGTGACAATTTCAGTTCTGACATTTCACACAGCTGTGTTGAGGAGGAAATTTTCTGCCGATTACCATTATTGATGCAAGTTACAAGCTTTGTTTTCAAGATCTTCCAAGTGCAAAATGTTGAGACCCAAAAATTTCGAACAAATTTCCTGTTCTTTCATACTATAAGCTTTCTCATCACCTGTTCTGGAAATGTGACATCCTATAACTAACAGAATGGAAAAAAGCGTGATATATATGGTTTAAGACGTTCGCTGGTCTCTCTTTCCCCCCAACTCCTGGGTACATTAGTGTGCCTCAAAGAAACGGAAAATACGAAATCCTTTGAGAAATGGCTAAAAAATACAAATAAGCGGTTGCAACACCAACAGAGCTCTCCCATGACTTCATGGGATTTCGCTCTTCCATTGGTGCCATAAATGTCCCTGTACTGCGACAAGCCTACGTTGGCAAACCAAGATTAATCCAGCAGAATATTCTGAGAGCGCTAACATGTATACTTCGAAGGAGATGAACCTATTGAATATGCGTGTTCCGAACGAATATTGTGTTAGCGTTGCCTGTCAGGCGAGAAACCACGCTAAGAGTTATGGTCAACTGTAAAAGTAAGCAAAACTGAGTATTTGTGACCTGACTTTTTCACAAGGTGAACTATAAAGGTTGAATCTACTTTTCAGTCCTTTCTAATTAAACTCATTTCAGACCAACCTGTAGCAACCTGGTGTTCATTATTTTTAAAAGCTTATATTTTCCACCGCATGAAAATTTAATGATGATGAACTTGTAACTATTTTGCTACCAATTACCAATAGAAAAACCAGTTAACTATAGACCGCAATTTACGAAATCTTGACTCTACCGAAATTCTCCTTTATTTAATGAATCTGTATTATCAGGTGAATGAAATGACAAGGCCAAAAGATATGTACAGACCACCCAAGTAAGTGTATATATTCTGAAGAAAGCATTTGTCTAAGTACTGGAAATTTTTGTCATGCCCCTGCAGGTTTTTTGGTGCTTAGTATTACAGAAGGGTCAGGAATTGTCCTTCTCACCTACTTCGTGACCAAACATCCAAGCTCATAGGTATCCAACTGACTAGAACTCCTGTTCAGTTCAGGCCAGACGATGAACAAACATGGTTTATGTACGTTAAACCTGATTTCCATGAGCATGGAGTCACTGACCCACGAGAGGCTTGAAACATCTATCCTAAAGACATAAAGTCCTTCGGCCCGGCAGTGTCTTGACAAACTCATCCTCAGTGTCGAGTCAAAGAATATTTCGGTCGGTAAGCGGTCTTTGAGCAGTGACTCTGAAACAACGGAGTTCTGCAGCTTCTTAAAGTGATTTCCTAGGTCAAGCAGACCCCTCATTTCCACCAACTGCCGACGAAAGTGATCTCCAAGAAGTAAATCACGTGGTCCTTCACCTAAGAATATGCACCGGCTTCGGTATCACAATACCTTTGGCTAGGTAACTAAGTGTTGCCAAAAACCTTGCACTCTTATCAAGGATTCAAAATCTATTGAAAATAACGCTGCTGACACGCGTTAGCATCAATTATAACCAGTGGCAATATTATTACTAATATTCCCTTGGTTTCCGAGTAGAGCATAGGGCTCCAACAGCACGTCTCCTCTTCGTAACCTTTCGCTGCCTCCTCATACAATCTCCTCAGTGTCGCCCTCCTGTCTACCCCTAACTCCATGTATCCTGTTGAGGATCCACTGCAGGGTTAGTCTTACGCGTGATGTCACCCTCTAGGAAACCAGCTAGTTAGACTGCTTGAATGTTTTGAACTCTTTTCCAATTAGTTTCGATTGGATATAACGCCCGCGACTGATGTGTGGCTATCAACCCTGCTAGACCTTATTGCTAGTCACACTACCTGCTGACTGTTTGGCCTGGGCCACCTAACCTGGTGGCTGGGCTGTATTTAACGCCATCCTGACTAGCGCAAAGAGCGTTTAACACTTACAGCAGCTGAATGATGCATTCATTGACGATGTTCTACGGACAGTGTACAAGTAGATAATCACACAACAAGTAGGCTTATGTTTACCAACATATGTTTCACTGCTCATGGATAAACAAACTGATCGCTGACGGTGAAACAGCCGAGGTTCGGTTGAGTTAACGAACTTCTTTGATCCCCTACAACCCGAGAAGAGTGTCCAGTTCATTTCCATTTTACTCTAGATTTTTGTGCAGTAGGTCCTTGTCTAGAAAATCAGTTGGTTTCACTGCTTGAATGGTTTCGAGCCCGTTTCCTGACGGCCATCTATCCTGATAGATCTGATCTTCGACCACATTACCTGCTGTTTCTTGACCTTTGCCCACCTGACCTGGTGGCCAGGCTACCCTTAGCACTGCCTCACCTAGCGGAAGGAGAATATAATACTTAAGGCCGTTCAAGTGTGTGCTTATCACCGATTGTATTTTACGGGTTGACGGTATCGACGTTCGCGAGTTGTACGGATTATACTAACGCAAGATCTCATACCAACAACCACTATAGTGTTCGTTCTTCGAGTACCAAATGGTAAAGCAAAAGACCAGATTTTGTCGTCCAAATACGATATATATTTTGTGACCAAATCGCGGGTAGGAATGAATGCTTAGCTAGCTAGTAATCGTGCACGCACGTGACACGACGAAGCACCAAATGGCGGGGATGCTTGACCGTAAGCCTTCAGCTAAACAAGTCGACTTAAACAGTGAGGGTCAGCATCCAATGTTGAGTGATGATTGCTGTGGTTAATAATTTTGGGGAATTATTTACCGCTACAGCTCACTCCCCCCCTAGTGGGGTTGTGAGGACCCTAAGACATGACCAGCCGGAAGTAAAAAATCTCGATGGTTCCCTGATGGGTGAAAAAAATCTTCCAAGCGGCTTGATGGAGAGCCTGCTGGTCTGTCTGCCTATGCTAATAGGGTGTCTGTACATAGCTTCCTCAGTGTTGTTCGTTGGATCCCGTGCTTCGTTTGTTTCCTGTCCAGTGCCCGTTGCACCTGGAAAAGAAAACAAGAATGCTGAGAACCTTGTCAAGAAAAATGTACCAAATAAGCGTTTTTTTTACCAAAAAAA